TTGACGGGTTCGCTGCAGGTTTGTGCTGCCAAGAATGATAAATAAATACATAATAATTTGCTGCTTTGTACCTTTAGTCTTTATTTTTTTACTAAAATTCTAGTTGACAAAATGATGGTATTTACTTAAAGGTGCACTATGTAACTTTTCTGGTGGGTTCTGTCACTTGTCTTCATGGAGTTGTCTCTGCTTTGCCTGGAATGTTCCACAGTACACAGCAAAACCACATCTCCATGGAGACCCTACACACAAAATTACATAATGCACTTTTAATTGAATCTATAATACATTTAGTACACTTATTTTTTGTTTAGTTTTGTCCTTTTGATTGAAAAATAAATAAATGAAATCAAATCTTTTATTATAGTTCCCATCTTCAGTTCACTTTTCTGTAGTACACAAAAAATAGGTTTTAAAAGACTCCAAATATGAATAATTAAACAGCTGACATGTTTTGGTCCCGGTTTAGACTTCTTTTAGGCTTATTTTAGTTCACGAAGCACCTCATAATCAAAATTTCAAAACGATTTAGCCCTTTAGACTACTGATCTAAAATACTGTATGAATTCACAGTAATTTCAGAGCAATTAATTTTTTTATTCAGGTATCGAGATCACGAACCACGCCACGGCCACGCTGGAGGGAAACCAGATCTTCAACAATAGATTCGGGGGGCTTTTTCTCGCCTCAGGAGTCAATGTAACTATGAAAGGTACATTAAAACTATATTGAATAAACTATAATTAACTGTTCAGGCGACTGTTTTGCTGCAAAGTCTAAAATGCTGACGCTCATTTTCAGATAATAAAATTTTGAATAACCAAGACGCCATTGAGAAGGCAGTGAGTCGAGGGCAGTGTCTCTACAAAATCTCCAGCTACACCAGTTACCCCATGCACGACTTCTACAGGTAAAGTGAATTGTTACTCTAAAGACATGCAGTATTATGCTTTTTCAGGTGTTTAGAGCGTTCATTGTAAACGGCTCTGAAAGCGGCTTGATAATAGAAATAGATCCGTTCACTCCCTGGTCAGTTCAAGTTCAGCTGCAGGAAAGTCTCAGTGCGATTTAACAGGGAATCATTGCAGCCTCTTCTAAGACTCACTCACAGAGATGGTTGTACAGAGAATGGGGCGGAGATAGGGGGTAGGTGAAAAGACATTTTCAGAGCACACAAGCCTCAAATGCCGAACAGTAGAGGATTACTCAAACATAAACCATGGAAATACAATAGTGATATCTAAATCGCACGGTACGATATTGTCTCGATGTGCCTCTCACGGTACGATATGATCACGATATGCCGCCAAGGTATGATAATTATTGCGATATTTTGGGGGTATTAACAGAATTGTACATACACTATATTTTCCTTTTTAAATACCGTGACCAGTCTTCAGTGTGAATCATTACTGCCATATTCTAAAGAAATAAGATCTGAAAGCGCTTAATAACATCTTATTATGTAGTGAAGTAAGTAAAGGATCATGGCATGTGTTGTTTCCTCTTTTTTTAGTAATTTTAAGTGAAAAACCTTGCAATTCCATATATTGTGATGGACCAAGGTATTAGTATTGACGATACGATATCACGATATTTCAGTTATTGTTACATCCCTAAAATACAACTAAACAAATGATGAGGGAACACCAGCATGACATGGTTAACATAAAGTACATTCTGAATAATATTTAAAGGTCCATGTAAATAATTTGTGTGTTTGGTTTGATTTTCTTTCAGGTGTCACACGTGTAACACGACGGATAGAAACGCCATCTGTGTGAACTGCATTAAAAAATGTCACCAAGGCCACGACGTAGAGTTTATACGGCACGATAGGTAAGACACATCTAGGAAGTTTGTTTGTAAAGTTTGTATAGTTTTTAAATTTTAAATAATTTGGAATATATTTGCACTTAAACATTTCAAAAATTGACAACTCTTCTGAAGTGCCACTGGAGGGCGCTAGTGCATCATTTATTTGTTGTATTGGGACATGGGTCAAGTTAATCAGAATGAAAACAAAAAAATGTTGATTTTACAAGCACAATTATATTTTCCCCACTTACTCTAGAAAAAGGTAAACCTAAATGTAAAGTGCCTCTGGATGTTTTTGTGATTAAAGGGGCACTATGTAACTTTTTGGATGGCTTGTTCACTTCATGGAGACATGCAGCAGTTATTGTTAGGCCTGTCACAATTACAAATTTGTGCGATTATACTGCTAAAGAAAATATAAACAGTAATATTAAAACAGGATTTCCACTCTTTTTTACTGACAAAATTTCAAAATTTTTCCTTGACTTTTTCATGACCTAAAATGAAATTTTCAGGACTTTACATGTTCTACATGTAGAACTGATCAAACTTTTAGGGCTAAATATACTAAAAATTCTTTATGGTTTGGTATTATAGTTTTTTAACATTCAAAATACTGTCAGTGCATTTATTCCCGTCTCTTTTAAACAAAAGGCGCAGACGTTTGGAAATAATCATAATAGCCTGATGATATTATGAAAACGCTGTAGTTGCGAGATTAGTAGCTAAGAGATACTAAAATTCCATGACTTTTCCAAAATTTTGATTGAAGTTACAAAATTCTATAACTTTTCCTGGCCTGCAAAGTGACATTTTTAATTTCCATGAATTTTTTTCAGGATTTCCATGACCGTGGCAACCCTGTTAATACTAATTTATGCCACTGACACACAAACCCAAGAGCAGGATTAACCTCCAAAAAGTATTCTAATTGATTGCACAATATTGTAGTATCTGCAATAAATAAACGGCAGAATGAAACACTCTTTTTGTACTTAGTTTGTAGCTAGAATGAGTCATAAAAGTGATTAATTCAACTTTCTACAGCTCTGAACACTATTATGTTGTAAAATAAACAGAAATTTCCCAGTAGTGCAAATAAAAACTACCCATGATAAATAGTAATAATTATCGTGACAGGCCTAGCATTTTATTTACTTCAAAATGCTGTAACTGACTCTTTTCTGTTTTGTTTCTCCAGGTTTTTTTGTGACTGTGGCGCGGGGACATTGTCAAACCCCTGCACTTTGGCCGGCGAGCCACGCACGACACGGACACTCTGTACGACTCGGCGCCCCCTATTGAGTCCAATACGCTACAAGAACGAAACCTCACTCCACAAGAGAGCCAGACAGGCCGAGACTGACTGACGGACAGCTGCAGCCTTGTGAAACTCCACTGGGAACAAATGTCAAAAGAGTCCTGGTGTGTATAGACAGAGCGAAGGCTTTGAAAATGGACAAATGTCAAAGGTCGTGTGTAACAGAGCAAAGAAATATGTTTTGATCAATGGGTTTTATTTCGATGCTTTTCTCATGTAGTTTTGTATTTTTGAGCAAAAAGCTGACTGTATTTGAATGTCTTTTATTTTATTATATTATATTATTATATTATTATTTCCTTTGGTTAGCCTCCCTTTACCCCTCACAGTGAACGCAGAGCCTCGTGGTCCCAGTGGTCGACTTCTTTCTGTGAAAGAGTTTAACACTAGCCCTCTCCTCGCGAAGGCAGTTGTACAGTGTGCGTGTGTGTTACTGTTGTGTGTATTTGTGTTAATGCAGTCAGTGTTTAGTGGAGAGGTGTCAGCAGGGGGCGCTACAGCTCCTCTCACTGGGACACGATGACTCTGCCCCGCCCCCTGCCCCTGTATTGTGGTGACTGTGGCTCTCATGCGGCCTGAATCGTATGCATGTACCATAACATCTAGACTTAATATATTGTGAAGTATTCAATAACCATTATGTAGATGCTAGTTGAATTCAAAAAGGGGTATACTTTCTTAGAAAGACAAAAAAGAACAGAACAGGAAACTGGCCATTTCTAAGAAAATAAAACTTTATTAGTTCAAAGTCGTGTGGCGTCAGCATTTGTGTGAACTGCTCAATAAACCTGATGTTTTACACTACAACCATCTAAACCACCTCAGAGACGAGGAAGATATGTTCAAATCACAGCGACCTGAGCGCAAGTTGGAATGCAGATTTATTCTTTGTTACAAAAGTGTTGGATGCCATAACAACTTGTTGTCACTTGGTTTAGTTTTCAAAACAATTATCCAATCAGAAAGCAGAATGAGCCTCACACGAGTCTCACTCAAGTTGCCAGTTCCAAGGTTTAACCCTCACACTCTTAGGGTCACATTGATCCGAAGAAAAAATTTTCCCTTCCCGCTCTCTTGGGGCGGGTCAATCAGGCCCAAAAATTTATTTTCAAATAAATTCTCGCCAGGCAAGAAAAAAAATTTGGGGCTGATTTGACCCACCCCTAGAGAGCGGGAAGGAAAGGAAAATTCCTTCAGGTTAATGTGACCCAAATGGATTTAGTCGTAACAGGACTCCCTCTGATCTGAATGGTCTCTAAAGCTAAACCTCAGCACCTGCACCAGTCACGACTTGGTGCTAATGCAGCCTCTGCAGCTCAGGGAGGAAATTTTGAAGGTTCTGAGTTCTCACATGAGGCCTGTCCGTGTACTGAGGGTAAAGCACTGATAACACAGGCTCAGTTGTGATTGGAATATTTCTAAAATTAATAGCATGGGCTACAAAGGCTTCCTTCAAACTCCTTTTATAAGACAATGAGATTTATGACAACGCTGGAGTTTGGCTAAATTAAACCAAAATCCATAACGGGAGGGACTGAGGAATCTTCAAACGAGGAAGAGGTACGGACAGACAGTTCACACACCTCAAGTGCATTCAGAGCCAGTGTGTGTAGAGACTACGGTGAAAAGTGAAGAAATCTGATACAAAAAATGACATATTTCTGTACTTCTGTGATACTATTCAAAATGTTGATTGAGTTGTCCATTTATGTAAATTTATTTAAAAGGTGCACTATAACATTTCTGGTGGGGGTCAGCCTTTGCGATGCCTGAAATGTTCCACAGTAAAAAAAAATTCTAAACAAACTGTCTACTGCACCAAACGTTTAAACACACACGAACAAATAAGAACAAGTCTGAACACTATCACTTATTTTCTTTATTGAAAAACATACAAAACTTTTTTCTATACATTGTTACAGTAATGCATCAGTGGGGAAAAGCTTATTTAACAGAAACACATCTTTTGAGGATCTCTGAGATGTAGCTGTTGTTTTTAGATGCCAGTTCGTCCTTCATCCTCTGCAGCTCCGACTTCACCTCGGCGTCGTCCATGCTGGAGACAGGAAGTGACCTCACCTTCTCCAGGAAGTCCATGATCAGACCTTCACCGGCCTGAAACACACGACAAATATGTTAAGAAAATAATGTTTAAAAGGTGAATATTATGCTATTTTCTGATCTGTTATTTCATTTCCTCATCACAAACAAACCTAGAGTTGTTTTGTTTCATTCACACATGTTTAACACACAAACCCTGCAGATTTAGGCTGAGTTCATCTCTCAAACAAAAAACACTGTTCCACCTTGTGATGTCATACAGGAAGTGCTCCACTGTGTTTTTAAACTCCACACACCTTCACTAGAATCATTTGAATGTTAACAGCCCTGGACATGCCAATCTCTACTGAACTAAAAGGTAAAAAGTAACGTTAACTTAAAAACTACATCTTCACGACACGGCATTTTGAGCTTGGGAAATATGACTAAGAAACCAGGATTACTCAAACATGTGAATGAAACAAAACACAACTCCAGGTGTGTTTTTGATGAGGCAACAGTATTATAAACTGGTTTTAAGCTCACAAAAATCATTTTTGCACAATACAGGACCTTTAATTGAAATGGGGCAGGCAAAATCACTATTAGCAACGTCCACTATGATGTGGTCCAACTAAAATACCAGGTTCAACATCTGTAATTTACTTTGAATATATGTACGGTCTTAATACTGGCTCTTACTGACAATGCATCATTTTTTCCCTTTAAAATCATAAAAAATCTGGGTATTTAACAGGCAGCAAACTGGATTTTTAGTGTTGAAAAGATACAAAATGTCAAGCTTTATTTAGAAAAAGCCTGATATTAAATTACAATTTTGAATAAAAACCTTTGTTTCACAATGCAAAAATTCAAGTCTTGTAACAGAGAGTACAAGAACAGCAGGAGAATAAATAAATATAAAATGAAATATTATTAGAAAAGGAATTTCTATTATAAACTGGTCAAAATATGTCAATGTAAGGGGGTCTAGTGGTGTGTTTATGCTGCACTAACACATTACTTTAGTTTTATTTAACTATATTTGTGGTGTTGTGTGTTATCGAGGGGAAATGAGGAGGGGCATTTTTTGTTGTTTTGTTTTTGTTGTGGGTGTTGCTTTATGTTTTTGTGTTTTGTTTTTATGTTGATAATTGTATTTTGTTAAATGCTGTAAAAAACTGTATAAAATGCAGGTCCTATGAGTAATTTTACAATGAGGAGAAAAAGACGATTCTAAACCAAGAAGCAGATGTGTTTAAATTAAAATATTGATAGTTTATTTAAATATTTTAAGTTTATCTACTCTGATTGTAATTCTGGTAACAATAACTGAAGAGAATGTGTTCAGAATCAGACTGAGAAATCAGGTCAGGAGGATCAACATTTTCCCATGAATGTTAGATTAAAGGTGCAGGATCCGTCAATTGGAATGTTTCACAGTATGGTATTAAGTCTTATCTTCACGGAGACCAAAACCAGACCAAGTTACAGGTCAGCTCTGTGGAGAGGCGACCCCGCTCACTCACAGTCAGAATGAATGTTTTTCTAGGTATTTTTGAGCTATAAAACCACCTGTAATTGAATAAATGTAAAGTAGAGCTGTTTAATGTCACACTGTGGAACATTCCAGGCAGAGTAAAGACATATCCATAGAAACATGCAGGTGACGGACCCCAAAAACCAAAAAGTTACACAGTGGAGCTTTAAGTTAGGTGAGTTTTGAGATCAGAAAGTCTCCAAAAGTAACGGGACCAAACTATGGATTTCAAATTAATATAAAAATGAATATACAGGTACAGAGTTTGGGGATTTGTTTTATTAAATCTGTGAAATCTTAAATATAATTGTCTGTCCTGAAGTGTAATAGTTGAGTGTCTGAATCTGTAGTCAGTTTTCAGGGTTTAAGTTCAATTGTTTGTATAACTGTCTCATTGTATTCTTACTCTTTACAGACATCACGGGTTACATCATATGCACTTACACACTCAATCTTCAGTTATTTCTAGGACACGAAACTCACAAGATGCTAAATTACAGAGAACTATGTCACTTTTTGGTTGGATGTTTGGTGTGGAGTTCAGGTGTGTTTTGAACAGATGACTCTCACCTGTTTGTCGGTGCGTCTCCTCTTGCTCTCTGGCCCCTCCTCTTTTTCTTCTTCTGCCGCGAGCTCCTGAAACTCCTCCAGGTCGGACGCCTTCTCCTTCGCCGCCGCCACCACCGCCGCCGGGAAACAGGCGAGCTCGGCCACGTGGATCCCGAAGCTCTGATCGCACACGCCTGCACACAAACAAACAAGCACGGACAATGTCAATGTCAGGAGGGATTAAGAATTATTTGTGTTATTATGAATCCTTTATTTATCTTCTGGAGACTGAATATCTAATTTTCAGAGAGAGACCTGTGGAAATGGTATTTATACATGTAACAAAAACTAGGCTCAAGACGAGACAAAGCCTGTTCTGTGGCAGTGCTCAGATTGTGTGTTTCTCTTCCTGTCAGATCCCCTCAGTCTGTAACACAGTTTAAGACGAGACTGAAAACTCACTTCTTCTGCCTGGCATTTAGTACGAGCTAGTCAGGTTATCTTGGTGTTTTTGTTGTAGTTTTCACTGTTTCTTCTGTTTTTGTTGACCTGCATGTGAAGAACTTTGGTCAGCTGAAGTTATTTTAAATGTGCTATACAAATAAACTTGAACCAAATTGAATTACACAAGTACAATAATGGAAAAAAAATACTTCTCTCAATATTGTAATTATAGTACTGTATTTTTCGGGCTATTAGACGCGCTCTTAAGCCTCTAACCCCATCAAAAAATTACCACGCGCCCGCAATCCAGAGCGCCCCATACACGAAACCACTCAGGTGTCCCAGCACGACTTCAGTAAACTACAAAGCCGCACGACCCACAGTGCACGCAAACACACACGGAGCAGACAGTGACCGCACAGCGAGAAACACCCACAGACACACTAATCACTCCACGCCGACGAGGAACAGAACGGAGGAATGAACCGAAAAAGTGAGTGCAATGTGCCACTTCTAGACACGACTGAACAACTGAGTCACTGCGAACACGCCGACAATCCAGCGATCCCAGACAGCACCCTCCCTACACGCCACAACTGAACAAAGCCCAGAGTCACCGTCAACGCCACAAACAAAGTCCCACTGACCCATCCAACTGTTGTGTTTCCTTTAAAGTCCAGTGCGGTTTATTTGTGAAAAAAGTTTGAAAATAGACCATTTAATGACAGTGCGTCTTATAATCCAGAGCGCCTAATAGCCCGGAAAATACTGTAACCGCATTTTTCGATGGCAATAGGGAATTTATTTCAGATCATTCTCCAGACAGATACACTTAATGCCATACTGTGGAATATTATATCCAAAAGAAGCAACAATTCCATGGAAACAAACAGGAGGAGGTGCTGCACCAAGCAAAGTAAGAGTAAGGTTTGTGGGGATGCAAGCTCACTCACTGCAAGAATGCACACGCTTTCAATAAAACAAAGAACTAAAAAAAGAAGACAACAGAGAATCAGAACCCAGGAGAAAGGGGGTAACTATTCCACATATGGCTATGGCTGGTGTTTCTGAAAAACTACAAAGGATTTTCAGACAACATGAGATCCTGGTCTATTTCAAACCTACGAACACTTTAAGACAGAAACTGGTCCACCCAAAGGACAAAACACTGAGCCACAAACAAAGCAATGTGGTCTACTAATGTAGACAGCAGCGAGCGGTACACCGGAGAAACTAAACAGCCACTTCACAAGAGGATGTACCAACACAGACGAGAGAGCAGCAGTGGACCTCAGTCTGCTGTACATCTCCACCTAAAAGCCACGGGCCGCTCATTTGAGGACAGTGAGGTTCAGATCTGAGCCAGAGAAAATAATTGGTTTGAGAGGGGAGTGAAAGAAGCCATTTCTGTTAAGAGAATCCTTGTCTAGACAGAAATGGAGGCCTCAGACACCATCTATCTCCTATTTACAACTCCATCCTCAAACCTAAACAAACAAATAGAACAATATCTGTAGCCAAGTCAGGTCCAGAGGTGTGAAAGCTCCATTACGGCCATGAATAATTGTGCTAACATGACCCCACACTCAGTGCAAGTTCAATAGGTCCAGCTAACTAGCAGAAACTGTAAACAAGTGTGCGTGTTAGTTTCAGAGTAAGTTCTCTTGAGGCAGGTCAATCAGACCCAAAAATGTATTTTCTTGACTGGCGAGAAAATAAATGAAAATAAATGTTTGGGTCTGATTGACCCACCCCAAGAGAGCGGGAAGGAAAAAAAAAAAGTTTTTTCGGGTCAGTGTGACCCCGAGGAGAGCGTGAGGGTTAAATCCAAAAGTCTGTTTTAAAATAAAATTTGTCTGGGTTCAAGACACATTTTTGTTGTTGCGTCTGCCTCCTACTTTGATCACTTTGGCCAGCTTCCCCACAATATATATTTTCTATGGTTTTGTTTCTGAAATGTGCTATATATTTTCCTTACTTCCTTCTCCTTGATTAATTTTGATTCTGCAGGAAATGGGTGAGGAAGTCCCGCCCACAAAGGAGACACAGGGAGGAAAGAGAATATAAACTCCGCTCTGAGACCAATAAAGTTTGATTCTTTTCTCTGATGTCTGCTCCTGAAGCCTCCCTCATGCTTACTCCTTCATTCTGTAGTTTTGGAGGATCGAGGACAGAAATCAAGGAGAAAGAAGCGAGGAAAGAGAATTGAGATGTGGCCTAGATTGTAAAAAAAAAAAAAAAAAGCATTCTTTGGCCTAACTTTGTCTTAGTCCGTACCTGGTTTGACCTTGTAGAGCATGGTGAGAGTGTCCTGGGTGGTGAGGGCGGTCACGTGCAGGTTGTGTACGGTCGTCTGCTGGTTGGCGAGCGCCGTGAGTTCGTGGAAGTGTGTGGCGAACAGACAGAAGCAGTCGATCTTTGAGGAGATGTGCTCGGAGATCGCCCAGGCCAGACCAAAGCCGTCGTAGGTGGAGGTGCCTCTGCCCAGCTCGTCTATAATGATCAGGGAGTTCTTTGTCGCTGAACTAAAGAGAGAAATTGAAAACGCTTTAGAATACTGTAAACCTTCTTCTAAATCTTTGTATTCAGACTTTGCAGCTGATGTTGGCAGAGCTCTGTCGGAGGCTTTGTTAAACTTTAATCATTTTTATTTCAACACAATCTGACCAGAAAGAACTAACTTGGCTGGAAAGTGAGATGATTTGTAACGTTAAACTACTCCCTCACAAACAAAATTACAGTCACAAGTTAGCCACCATATAGTTTTTCAGCAAGAGTTTTTCAGTTAGGCCACCATAGTTTAACAGCCACATCAAATCAATAACATCTACGGCCTTTCACATCTTAAAAACACAGCAAACATCAAAGGTTTACTGTCTAAATCAGACTTGGAGAGACTTATCCATGCGTTTGTCTCCAGTAGATTAGACTACTGTAACGGCCTCTCACTGAACTCTCCAAACGAGCTGTGAGACGCTGCAGAACATCCAGAACGCTGCAGCTTGGGTCCTGACTCGAACTAGGAAGTACAAGCACATAAGTCGTGTGCTCAGGTCTCTGCACTGGCTCCTGTGGCTCAAACTTTAAAGTGGCTCTGCTTCTCTACAAGTTTCTCCAGGACCGAGCACCAAAGTCCATCTGTGACATGTTAGTGCCATATGAACCATTTCACACTCTGAGGAGCTCAGGGACCGGCCTCCTGTTGGTGCCCAGAGTCACGACTAAACACGGGAAGTCAGAGTTTCAGGTTCATGCAGCTAAAACCTGAAACAGTCTCCCGGAACATGTGAGACAGGCCTTGACTTTGACTTGTTTAAATCCAGACAAGAAAAGGTTCTGTTTAGCTGCATATGACTGAAAAGGTTTAAATTTTTCATTCTGCACACTTCTCTCTCATTCTTTTTAATTTTATGATGATTATGAATTACTTTGTGTAGGAATTGTAATATAATTATAAATTTGTCTTGCCTTGGCTTTCAAATTTTTGTTGAAAGTCAAACACCAAAAATCCCCCCAATCAGAACAGATTTCTTATAACTTTTACTTTTACATTTACACAGTATTTTGGTTGCACTTCCGTTCCTGTAAACTTCCCCCCTGTTCTTGTAAATAGTTTAGTGGTTTATTGCTTTTCTCTTTCTTTTTTGTAATATGCCAGAAATCGGAAAGATCACATTTGAACTGGAAATCTGTAAAATGTAAATATTTCCTCTTTCAAAATAAAATAAAATGTAAAAAGATGAAAATCAAACACCTAAAACGCTCGTATTGATCACAGGCTCCTGAAAATGTCTTGTTTAAATCCATTTTGTATTTTTTTTGTCTTTTTCGGCAGTGTTTGCTTATGTGTACATTGTGTCTCATGGCAACTCCTGAACATTTTGCCATAGAGATACATGTACAAGACCCCCAGCATGATGTCACCGCAAAGTATTAAAAGAGTTTATTGCAGTCATAATTTCAGATGGAGGACAGATCGCCTTCGAAAGAAAAACCCAGACGTATGACCCACAAACGTTGCACCTTGACATTATTTGTTATGAACTGGCTCCACAAACAAACAAACAAAGACATTTTAATTTCATGGCTTTTGGTCCTTTCAACTATTTCATGACAACAATCACTATGAAAAACTGATTTAGTGTTTGACGTAACAACATGAGGCCAACAGGTTTTTTGGTAAAGGTACTTTCCTAGAAAACTTCTGTAAAAGCCAACGCATAAATTTGTCCTGAGAACTGAAGAAGTCACGGTAGAGAAAAAACAAACAAACGGGGGGAAAAAAAAAAAAAAAACCCACAAGAAAACACAAGAGGACCTTTCACCATACAAAAGATATTCTGCTTTAAATAGTTATTTTTGAAACCCATGGGAGGTTTATGGAAATGGGACAAGATCTCACAAGATTAAATTACCACAATATGATCACACATAAGAACAAATTTCGTGTGAGAATTTTTTTGTGTGTAGAAATTGTGTCTTCCGTTCCCAATCTTGTGTCCCAATTTGTGGGAATTATGCCAAATTCCGACACTAATAGTTGATGGATTTGAACCTTTTTACTACGACATGAAATATTTTTCATTAATTACTTTTTTATAATTATTTTACTCTGTTGTAAAGAGCTCATATTACACTATTTTCTGATCTGTTGCTCATCACATACACCTGGAGAAGTGTTTTGTTTCGTTTCATTCAGACACGTTCTTCTCTCAAACCGAAAAACACACTGTTCCACCCTGTGATGTCACGTGGTAATACAAGAAGTGCTTCACTGTATTTTTAAACTCCATACACCTTCACTAGAATCATTTCAATTTCTTCCATGGAATTGCCAATCTCTAATGGACAAAGTGTAAAATGTAGCTGTTCACTTGTCTGCCTATGTCTCCAAACATGTGTGAATGAAACAAAACACAACTACGGGTTTGTTTTTGAGGAGGCAACAATATTAAAACATTGATTAAAGCTCACAAGAATCCATTTTGTGTTATACAGAACCTTTAGTGTTATATTTTAAAAAGACAGAAAGCAAAGGTTAAACTGTTACCGTAAAATGGCCGCCGTCTCCAGCATCTCGGACATGAAGGTGGAGACGCCTTTGACCTGACTGTCCCCGGCCCCCACTCGAGCCAGGACGCTGTCAATCACACTAAGCTCCGCCCTCTCGCACGGGACGAAGCAGCCGATCTGAGCCATGAGCGCGATCACGCCCACCTGACGGATGAACGTGGACTTACCGCCCATATTTGGACCTGGCAGGAAACAAAGACATTAAAGTTAGTTTAATACAGCAATTTATAAAAGTTTAGATTTTTCGTAGGGGTTGTTGGTGACTACAGGACTCCACGTAACACATACCATTTAGATCACCATGTAACCTTTAATTGTTTTTAAAATACTATGTTTTAGACGGGGAGAGGGGGGAGAAAAAAAGAAAAAGCATGATTTTAAAGGCACCAAGATTGTAATAAATAGTAAAAGATGATAAAAGGAAATGATGATGGTGAAAATAATATTACCGGTAGTTAAGTATAGTGACTAAAAATGTTTATTAACAAGGAAGAGAGTGAGTGAGAGAAAAGGAAATTAAATTATAAATTGGCCAAAATATCAATATAAGGGGGCCTAGCAGTGTAGTTATGCTGCACTACCTCATTACTTTTATTTTATTTTATTAAATTTGTGTGTGTGTTTGGGGGTGGGCAGTTTTTGTGTTTTGTTTTTATGTTGATTATTGTATTTTGGTAAATGTTATATTCTGTTGTCTTTAATAAAAATAAAATAAATAAAAAATACAGTTTTATAAGTTTCATTTTTGCTTTTGACACCCTTTGCTCTCCGTGTTAAGTTACTCCCCCTTAAGAGCGCCATCTCAGGTTTATCAAGTTGCTCTGTACAGTTTATCAGATTTTTTGATATTTATGGAGAATTGTCTTGTGGGGGTGTGGATGACATGGGCTTATGGGCTGAGCACTGGACAGAATCTTACAACTAATCACACGTAGGGATTCAATAGGGCCCAGGAGAGATCGCTAAATTACTGAAACATGCATGGATATATCTAAAACCTCTTCAGGCGTAGTCCAATGAGGTTCGTTTGGTCTTCCGATATTTTATGTTATTAGGTTCTTTTTGTGGACCAAGAGTTTCTTTTCATACCACAGTTTCGACTGATCACTAGTGGTCTTCCTCAGAGTCACGTGGTGTTGCTGTGGTGTGTCGGTCAGCTGATTTAAACAAGTTTTGGTGCTGTTTTCCTACCGGTGGAGGGAGGACGACAGCGCCATCTGCAGTCCGACTTCCTCAGGACAGTATCCCAGGTGTGTGAGAGTAAAAAAGCCCCCTCGTCTCGGTTTATAGTCACGTTGGACACGTTTCCTTATTTTGATTGCCTCTTTAATTCAGCGGCGATGTTTGCTCCATCCCAGTCCATAATAATTTACTCTCACACACCTGGGGATACTGTCCTGAGGAAGTCGGACTGCAGATGGCGGTTGTCCTGCCTCCATCGGTAGGAAAACAGCGCCAAAACCTGTTTAAATCAACTGACCGACACGTCACAGCGACATCATGTGACCACTCTGAAGAAGACCGCTAGTGAGCAGTCGAAACTGTCAGGTATGAAAACAAACGCTTGATCTCTTCAGACGTGTTTTTGATGAGGAAACAATGTTATACACATACAGTGACAAATGTATATATAATTAAATTTGGTCATTGCTTACAACTTATCATTACTTCACATCACAATAGATTTGCGATTTATGTTTAAGTAACAGGATTTTGTTCAAAGTTCATATCTTAAATGTGTCCAGAAGAACTGACAAAGAGTGAAATAAGCCCATGGACAAAAGATTAACTCAGAGAAGCCTGTAAAGCATATAGGAAATGTAGGGTATTGTTATTATTAAATTGTTTTGGAGAAACATCACAATTTTAAATGACATGTAAATTATTACTTTACATTTCGTACAAAGATTATAACTATATACCAGAAAAAGCATCAGTCTTCTTTATTATCACTTTTATGTCTTCACCATAGAGATAAAATGGACAGTTACATGTGCTCTGAACCCTCTGCGCTCTTAAACCTTTAGTTACAAAACTCTTACAATCAGGTCAAGCTTTTTTACACCAAATTTCACACAGATCTTCAGATAAAATAAATGAAATGGGCTGCGCTCAGTCAGATGTTTGTGGGGTTGAAGATAAGAGACACGAGTCTAAACAAAAATGTGAAAAAGCAGCTCTTTTATTTAACTAATGCCCCACTGGAACATTTGTTTTGTTAAGGACTCATTTTAAGATTGTCCAATTGATTATGTCGCCTGATGTTCTAATATACTCAGAGAAGTTAGTAGTAGTAGTTGTTGTAGTAGTAGTAGTAGTAGTAAAGTTAAAATCAACTAATCGTAAAAAGATCATTTTGACCATGGTAATCGTTGTCTGGACTATTTGACTTTAAAATTAAGTCTTAACAGAGCTTCACTCACTGGTCCAGTCAGTGAAGCTCACGAGGCAAACTGTTTTAGGAGTGAATTTGGAGAAGTGCTACATATTAGGAATAGGGACTAATTTACAGACAAAGTAGCGAAATAAAAGCACCAGGATCATGTAGAGCGGGTTCCCTCTCTCTGATCCAGCCGTAGCTCCTCACCTTTCCTCAACTTTTCTCCTCTTTTTCTCCTCTGGTGCTTCTCATCTTTATAATCCAAGTTACGGAAAGTAAACAACTATTTTCTCACCATTTGCGTGAAACTTAAGACCTAATTTAGTGCACGGACAACGCACGTGTTTCTTTTAGGTTTAATATATTGAACAAACTAATTCCAAACTTTAGTAGATTTCTCTGAACATATTGGTCCTATCAAGACAAATTACATTCTGTTCTCTACACCTGAAGTCCACTTATCTCTGTTTTCAAGAAGATGGAAGAAAATCAAAACAAAAACAGAGACTGATCAACATGGGGGAGGGGGGGGAAGTGATTTCTTTTTTTAACATATTGTCCAGCCTTACCATTAACAGTAGTAATAGTTGTCAGGGCTGTAGCGGTTAGGGAATTTCTCCTGCGGTGTGGTATATCGGCTCAACGATTGTATCACATGCGATGCTATCACACCCCCTCCCCCACCCCACATCCCCCAGAGTTATAATATTTCCAGCGGCTCTGAAAACTCTCTGATGACGCGCTTGTTACGCAGGTGCACATGTACCTTGGTCGTCGTGTGGATATAGCGTGTAGCGCAGGAGAAGTAACATTTGACTTTGGAACAAGTGCCGCTGCATCTCTCCAGCTCTCACTGTGGCAGCTCGGGTCAGAGTCCTGCTCCAGGTCGGGTACAGGCGGACTTAACAGAGAGAGAGCCCCGAGCACGAGCACATGGAGCAGAGTGTACACAAAGCACGATCGGGCGACGGCTGGGTTTACCTCTGTGCGGCACGGAGCTTTGCGCTGTCCTTTCGCCTACGGTTACCTGAAGGTCTACGCGGGCACACCTTAGTCCTGGTTTAGTCCTGGTTTAGTCCTGGTTTAGTCCTGGTTTAGTCCTGGTTTAGTCCTGGTTTAGTCCTGGTTTAGTCCTGGTTTAGTCCTGGTTTAGTCCTGGGTTATCACAGGCAGTAATGGGTGGAATGTTAATGGGTCTGGGCAGGTGCAGGTCTCTAAAAATGGAAACGTGCAGGACTCTGGGTCAGGTCACGTTGGTCATGTGCGGTGATCGCGGTGGCCCAACATGCACAGACATGGATCTCTTAGTACCGCGGTGACTCATTCTTGCAGTTATTGCGACAGCTCTAATAGTTTTAGTAGCAGCAGCAGTATTTCACCTGTGATAATGTAGAAGCTCCTTTCTCCCTCGGTGAAGCTGACGTCGTTGGGGATGAAGGCCGTGTCCGCGTCCGTCTCCATGCACGGGTGACGGGCCTGGACCAGCTCCAACCTCCGGACGCCATCTTGGCCCAGGAGGCGGGGCCTGACGTACGGGACGGGAGCGGAGACCGAGGCCACGGCGAAACTGACCACGGCGTCCAACTGAGCGATGACGTCACTCAGGGTCTGGAGAGGGTCCACGTAACCTACAGGCAAAGACAGGGCCATATGAAACTGGAAAATACTGTGAAAATTATGTATGCAAATAAACATAAAGCTTCACAGACAGCAGTGGTGGCATCTCAGTGGTTTATGTATGTATCCAGAGCCTCATAGCATAATTGCCCAAGCCATTTTTAAGATATTTAGGAAAATTCAAACACTTTTAAAAAATTTTCTGCTCGCCCTAAAACTACAAGAAAAAGAGTTTGCAGAGTTTGACTGTGGCTCTTTACTGAATATTACTGAAAGTGCCGTGAAATGTTTGTAAATGGTGGTGTGAGACTCCGTGTTGTTACGATCAGAAGTTGTATTTATTCATTTATGTGTAGAGCCATATTTTGCGGAGCATAACAAAACTGTTAATATGATACTTTTTCCTCTTGAAATGCCTTGATAAGACTTAATCCAAAGAACTAAGACTTAAAAGTGTTTAGAAGTGGTATTTCTTCTTGTAGTCTGCACTGAAATGGAGCAAAGGATCATGGTCTATGTAGTTCCCTCTGTCTTTTTTTTTTTTTTTTTACTATTTCTGCACCATAACTCTTAATTTAAGCAAAGAAACTTGTGATTCGATATATTGTGATGGTCCACGATATTACTGTGAGAACTTTGATAATACAATATCAAGATATTTTGGTTGTTCTTACATCCCTAGTAATAACATATCCATGGAGACAAGTAACTGGTGAGCTCTGTAACAGGAAAAGTTACACAGTGCACCTTCAAGAATAATTCATTTAAATACTATAAGAGCCTTCCATTAAAACATACTGTGAGCAAATAGCTTAATATTTAGTCATTTATGTCTCTTCTATCTTGCTTAAAATGCATTAGAGAAACAAAATCTCTTTGTGGTCAGTTCACAAAGTTGTGCTGCCATTAGCCCCGTGTGAAAAGGTGACAGGAAGGAACAAAGGAACTTAACCACTTCCTTCCTAGGGCCGATCAAACATGTTCACAAAACTGGCTCTACAATACTAACATTACAGTAGTACACAATATTGTCCTTCACATAAGTAAAAAGTCTACATAGATGCTCCTTATTTCCCCTGTGGATCACTAAAGTATGTCCAAGTCTACGTTATCAGTTGTGAAGCCACAACAGTGAGGGCCATTATTACTTCTGCAAATCTGTTGGAGCCAAATGAAAAAAGATAAAAAATACCATCAGATTAACAGCTGCCAAAAACAAAACCTCAAAAGGAGTTTTTACTGTTCACAAGGCCTGAAAGAGAATGTGCGTCCAATTGGTTAACACAAAGGTCACATAAAACACGGTAATTGTGGCTCGTCTCCTCCGGGGGGCGCAGGACAGTGACGAACATGTGATCGAACCTGAGGCGATGCTGATGATCTCCTTGACGATGGCGTTCTGCGCTTCCTCGTACTCCTCACGGTTTTTGGTGTAGTCCTCGTTCAGGGAGCTCAGTTTACTGTAAGAAAAAAGTCATGTGGTATTGTTTAATCAAAGGATTCTCAATAGTCGTGTAAACTATTGCTGCCCTGGGTGAGACTGATGGAAGAGAGACTGCCAATCTGTGCCATCTGCCCTTCTGACCACCACCAACACTCACGCACACAACAATTTTTCAAGACAACGTGAATTAGAGCCAAAAGTGCGGGCATTTACTCTACATATATTTATGGTTCCAATGCAGACTGCGTTGATGAAACAAATGATTTTACCTGTTTGTGAAGCGCACTCCGTTCTTTTGCACGTCCAGAGTTGTGAATTTCTTGTTGTTTCTCAGACTTTTCTCCTCTTTACACGTGACTCTGAGGTAATATCCATGGATGGCATTAGACTCCAGCTTCACTGTTTTACCAGCTTCAAGACCTACAAAATGGCAAAACAAATGTAAAACAAGGTTGCCCCAGGCTTGACTAAACCAAATTTAAGACTTTTTAAGACCACTTAAATGACAATTAAGACCAACATCGCACCCATTATGCGGTCGAAAAACACCAGATTCTAATACTGACCAACCAACTACAGTACAATATTTAGAATCTAAGAGCCACTGTGGATTAAACCTACACTTCCCCATGATCCATCCAGCGCCTTCCTCCACTTTACTGATTGTTTACTCATTGCCGCCGGCGCATGAAATCAAAGTATTGTTTGCACACACTCTAAATTCCAAATTAGACGTACATTCACATTATGTGATTTCACGTTGTTTTGTTTTTTTTCCTCCATTTAACATTGCACTGCAGCCCAGTTGAGTAAACAAAAAAATAGGCTAATGAAATTTAAGACCTTTGTGAAAAAAATAAGACTTGGACAACATAATTAAGACTTTTTAAGGACTTAATTTAGGAACATGAAATTTAAGACCTTTTTAAGACTTTTAATACCACGTGGATACACTGTCAAATACGTAGGGATGTAACGATATCCAAATCTCTCGATATGATATCTGTTGTGATATTTTGGAGAGGCTGATATAATTGTCAGGGTATTTTAAAAGCAAAAACCATCCTATCTACAAGATTTTGATGTGAATTATTACCATCATAATCCCAAGAATTCAAGTAAAAAACATATTTTTTCATGTTGTCTGCACTGAAATGAATCATGTGATATGTAGTTCTCTATGTTTCTTAGCTAAATAATGCATTTAAGCAAAGGAACTTGTAATTCGATATATTATAACAGCCGATGATACAATATCACTACATTTCAGTTATTGTTACAGCCCTAAAAATAAGATCATGTGCAATATATGAACATGCTATTTATTATCTATTTCATGTTTACTTCCTAGCCTTATGCATTCAACAAGACGATTTACTGGTTTTCTTTTGGTATAGTGAGTTTTGAATGAGGAAATGCTTTTAAACTGCCATCTTCTTGGAGATGATGTTACTTTCCCCAAATTATTCCACTGTAAGACATTTAACTTATCTAAAACATGCCAAATTTTACTCTGAAAAAAACAAAACCACATGACAGTGTGCTTCAACAATTTGGTCACGCCACAGAGACCCATATCTGCAGATTCAACCGTGGAAATCAGTTTTTTTAAAGGTGGAACAATGCTACTTATTTTAAGGTAGAACAAAGCTACTGATTTTAAATAAAGCTGTAACTGAAGCAAGTGACAAGGTGATCATAATATAAAAAAACACAAACATGAGAAAAGGAGCTTGTACTTCATGAATGTGTAGTGCACAAATGGACAATGGAACAAAAGGACATTTAAATAGTTTTTCTTCTTATTTTTAGTAGCTCAGACTGTTGTCATTTCTACATGACTGTAACTTATGAGAACCATTCGTTAGGCCTGTCTCAGTAATTACTATATTGACTTATCGTTCAGTATATGAAAGCTGGAAGAATGTATTTTGGGGCTCAATATTTATTTTGCGCACAATTTTTTTGCACTAGAGGGGAGTTTTTTGCCATTTTTATGTAATAATGAATAGAAGAAGAATAAATAACTTCTATGGCAAATTATTGGTTCAATCTGCTGTTTATTGTTTATCTGTGGCAAAAAGTAGTTTCAGGATTTGTCGTTTAGCGCAATACTTATCAGTAGCAACATATCGTGGTTAAAAATGTGTTAATGTGACAGGTTCAATTCAATCACTGACCGAGCTCTCTGGCGGCGCTGTTGAGAACGCTCTGCATGTTCTGCTCCAGGTCGTCCATTTTCTCCCTCAGGTCACTCAGCACCGGGTCAAACGAAGGCTTCACCAAGAACTCGTGATGCTCTACCTACAGGAAGAAACATTACAATACACTATTACACTATTCAAAACATCAAAACCCTAGTATGAATGTGGTGTGTGTGCGTGAGTGATGGTGGTGGTTGGAGGGGCCGATGGCACAGATTGGCAGCCTCGCGTCCATCAGTTTGCCCCAGGGCAGCCGTGGCTACAATATTAGCTTACCACCACCGGGTATGGAGTGAATGAATAATGCTCTGTAACATGTCTCTGAATGTCCAAAAAAGCGCTTTATAAAACTGATGCATTATTATTATTCATTATTATTCACAGGACAAGAGGACACTGGACAAACTGTTCTACATCAGGACTAAACCAGGACTGAACTAGGAAGGATTTGTAGTGGGTGCAGAGCTCGACTCATTCAAATCTGGCTGAGAAGAGGGACAGAAGACAAAACCCCCAGCACCCCCTGCACAGCACCATCCCCAGACAGGAGAGCACCTTTGGGGACAGGCTGTGGTCCCTGCCTTGCTCCATGGACACACTCTGGAAATCGTTGGTACCACATGCCATATGGTTATTCAAGGCTTCACTATCATTTGATCAGTGTTGGGGAGTAACGGATTACATGTACCGCCGTTACGTAATCAGAGTACAAATTAGGAGTAACTGTATTCCGTTACAGTTACTGCTTCAATGAGTGGTAATTGGATTACAGTTACTTTGCTGAAATAAGTGGATTACAAGGCGATATTTTCCTGTTTTCACATTTTGTGCTACATCCCATTTATTTATTTCGGTATTTCCACTCATTGCCTGAAGCCCTAACAGAACGCGCGCAATAAGAGCGATGGAAACGTTATGTTAAAGTTAGCGGTGTCAGTCACACAGTGGAAGCAGCAGTGCATTGGTAAAATCGCATTTGTGTCTTGGAAATTCTTCTCCCGATGTGAGATATATATAAAAAAAAAACAAATATAAAATCACCTACAACTTAAATGTGAAACAGGAGCTACTGGCACTGATGAAAACAACCTGCATAGACTCATAATATCTGCACTGTCCTATAATACTGCCACACTACCACATGACCTGCACACACACACACACACACACACACAACACACACAAACACACACAACACACACAAACAACAAACACACACACACACAAACACACACAAACACACACAAACACAAACACACACAAACACACACAAACACACACAAACACAACACACAACACACACAACACACACAAACACACAAACACAAACACACACACAAACACACAACACACACACACACACACACACACACACACACACACACACACACACACACACACACACACACAACACACACACACACACACACACAACACAAACACACACACAACACACACACAACACAAACACACACACACACAAACACACGACACAGAACACACACACACACAGTCCTTCCCCACGGACCACACCATCATTTGTACGTTTACACCATCATCGTCATTAACCTGAGAACCCACGGACCACGTCTCCTTCCGTAGTTACAGCGCGGACACCGCCGTCTCGTGAGCCGCGTGTGGACCGTGTTTTCTCGCGTAAACCACACTTCCTCCTGTGCGCCTCTAAACCAGAACTAACACCAGGACTAAACCAGGACTAACACCAGGACTAAACCAGGACTAACACCAGGACTAAACCAGGACTAACGCAGGACTGAACCAGGTTTAAACTAGGACTAAACCACGACTAAACCAGAACTAAAGACCTGATCTAGACCTGGTCTAGACCTGGTCTAAACCAGGTCTGAAATCAGGAGTAAACCAGGTCTAAAAATCAGGACTAAACCAGGACTAAACCAGGTCTAAACCAGGTCTAAACAACATGACACCTAACAGTAGGTTGACAGAATTTAAGGTGATCTCATATAAAAAACAATTTCTCTATCAATAATATTTTTTAATATGGTGAAGGAAAGACTGATCTTGTTACTGTCTTTAACAGACAAAACCTCTTATATTAAGATATCGTGGTCTTTGTTTCTCTACAGTAAACAGTTGCTTATTCATGGAGACTTGGGCTCAGACAATTTGAAGACAACAAACGAGAATTTTCAGAATGTGGTTGCTACATTCATGTCGTTTAAAAAAACATGACAATATCAAGTAATCCAAAGTAATCAGATTACGTTACTCACTTTAAGTAATTTAATAGATTACGTTACAAACTACATTTTGGGGTGTGTAATCTGTAATCTGTAGGGGATTACATTTTAAAAGTAACCTTCCCAACACTGCATTTGATACATATATAAACCTGTATGCAACATGAAAAATGAATTTCCTTCTGGATAATAAAGTATTAAAGATAAAATATGTATAATATTTATAATAAAGTATAGACTTTAAAACAGGTGATCTTATCTGTGCTCTTAAACAGGTCCCTCTCAACTAACATTACAGTCACTGGACTTGGACCATGAACGCCCATTTTGATTTAACAATAAAAACATCTGTCAATGAATAAAAGCAATATAAAAATAGTTTAATTATATATAGTGGAACATTCTAGCCCAGAGGTTTCTAAGGCTACGTTCAGACTGCAGGGCTTAATGCTCAATTCCGATTTTTTTGTGAAATCCGATGTTTTTGCGAGGTCGTTCACATTTCCAATTAAATGTGACTTGTCTGTGACTTCAGTGTGAACGGTAAACGGCCCGAAAGTGTCCCGCATGCGCACTGGAGGACACGATGACGTCAACTCCATGCGTCAACCGCAGCGAGCGTGCTCTGTGTTTACGGAAGTTGTCCAAATATGGTCGCGAGCATTGAGAACCTGGCGATTTTACAGTTCTGGTTTCCGCCTGCTTCAGCGCAGAATAGTGACGTTTGTTGCTTGTTAATGACGTGTAGGTCGGATGGATGCGCTTTGTCCGTTCAGACTGAAGTCGCATGTCAAAAGATCGGATATGTATCGGATTCAGGACCACATATCCAAGTGGCCTGGGTCGCATTTGAAAAATTCGGATCTGTGCCGTTCGTCATTAAAAGATCGAATACAGGTCACATAGAAGCCAAAAAATCGGATTTGGGTCACTTCAGGCTGCAGTCTGAACGCAGCCTAAATGTTTGAAAGTGGGACCCTGAAAAATACCAAAACCAACTTCCCACTGTGGAATGAAACAGAGGACCACATTTTGAAACAAAACCGCTACTGTCATTCCACAGGCACTCAAAACACTTCATTTTGGTGGTGTTGTAAAAAAACAAAAAACAAAAAAAACAACAACAAAAAAACATTAGTAATAGAGAAGGACTTGATCAATGACTTTTATAACATTTGTTCATTGAGGTTAGAGAGGTTTTGGAAACAAACATAAGTTTTTACAATTTTTCACACATTTTTTTATGTTTATTGATGCATGATGAAGAATTCTTGTCAAACAAATTCATTTTTAGCGCATGTGATGATTAGATTTTGACTTCAATAGGCCAGAAAATATTAAACATTTTATAATTTAATACAAGCAAACAATAAAAAAGTGCATACCTGGTTCATGTCCAAAGTGGTATCGACCATTTCTTGAAATTTGACGAAGTCGTTTTGCAAATCTCTGAATGGAGTCAGAAACACAGCCTCCAGAAGGACTTGAAAACCTCCTACAAAATAAACACGAGCCATTAAACGATGAACAAATCAACATTAAGATTTTCATTTTAGAATTTACTTTAGTGAATGTATCCAACAAAAACAGTCTTAAAACTTTTTTGACAGGGTGTGCATTGTGACACCATGGCAACTCCTAAACATTCAGCCATAGAGATGCACGTAGAACACCCCCAGCATGATGCCACAGCAAACTATCAATTGAGCAAGCATGTTTATCTTTTACTTATTCATTTATATTGTTTTGATTAAATGTCCAAGAGTCTTTTCAACTTATTTTTTTTTTACATTTTATTATTATTGCAACTGGTTTTGGTCTCAAAGAAAATTACAGGGCCTCTATCGATCCGTGTGTCATTCGTTCATTTGTTTTCAAAATAAAACCAAAAATAAGAAAATGAAAAAACAACAGTTTTCGATTTTGTGTTTAAATGAATAATGGAAAAATGTTTTCCCGTTTTCATGACTTAAAAGGCGATGCCGGACTTTTGCGCCACATACAGACGGAACCAGAATTGAACCAGGTCTAAACCAGGATTAAACCAGGATTGAACCAGGTCTAAACCAGGATTGAACCAGGATTGAACCAGGTCTGAACCAGGTCTGAACCAGGTCTGAACCAGGTCTGAACCAGGTCTGAACCAGGTCTGGATCCAGGTCTCGATCCAGGTCTCGATCCAGGTCTCGATCCAGGTCTCGATCCAGGTCACAGTGTTAGTCCTGGTTTAGGTCTCAGTCCCGGTCTCAGTCCCGATCTGAGTTCCGATCTAGTTCTGGTCCTAGTGCCGGTCCCAGTCTCGTCCCGGTCCCGGTCTCGGTCCCGGTCTCGTCCCGGTCCCAGTCTCGTCCCGGTCCCGGTCTCGTCCCGGTCCCGGTCTCAGTCTCGTCCCGGTCCCGGTCCCGGTCCCAGTCTCGTCCCGGTCTCAGTCCCGGTCCCGGTCTCAGTCCCGGTCCCGGTCTCAGTCCCGGTCCCGGTCTCAGTCTCGTCCCGGTCTCAGTCTCGGTCCCGTCAGTCTCGGTCCCGGTCTCGTCCGGTCTCAGTCTCGGTCCCGGTCCCAGTCTCCCGTCTCGTCCCGGTCTCAGTCTCGTCCCGGTCCCGGTCTCAGTCTCGTCCCGTCTCAGTCTCGTCCCGGTCCCGGTCCCAGTCCCGGTCTCAGTCTCGTCCCGGTCCCAGTCCCGGTCTCAGTCTCCCGGTCTCAGTCTCGTCCCGGTCTCAGTCCCGTCCCGGTCTCAGTCCCGTCCCGGTCCCGGTCTCAGTCCGGTCTCAGTCCCGGTCCCGGTCTCAGTCCCGGTCCCGGTCTCGTCCCGGTCTCAGTCTCGTCCCGGTCTCCGGTCCCTCGTCCCGTCTCGTCCCGGTCTCAGTCTCGTCCCGGTCTCAGTCTCGTCCCGGTCTCAGTCTCGGTCCCAGTCTCGTCCCGGTCCCAGTCTCAGTCTCAGTCTCGTCCCGGTCTCAGTCTCGTGATACACGGATTTCTACCCGAATTTCAACCGTTGTCATAGTGATCCATAATTTAAACTGAAATATATCTTTTGAATGGTAAAAAGTCCTCAAAATGTCACCTATAAATTGCCCCTCCTCTCCCCCTGTACCTGAGTTTCTCTCGAGAGCACTGATGATGTTGGGGATCTGGCTCACGGCCTGGTAGACGCGGTAACAGTCCTGCAGCGTCGCCGAATGACGGTGGAACTTTTTGGCCAAACGGTGAAGATCGGGAACGCGACGCAAGAGGTCGTCCTGAAGAGTCTGTCTGAGCTCCGAGTCGCACACGAAACTCTCCACCAGGTCCAGCCTAAAGAGAGGAAATACATTAACATAACATATTTTATTATAAACTTAAAACGGTGCACTATGTAACTTTTCTGGTGGAGGGTCTGTCACCTGCTTGTTTCTATGGATATATCATTGCTCTGTCTGGAATGTTCCACAGTATGACATTAAAAAGCTCTAGTCAGGGTTCCCACTCTTTTTCACTCACAAAATTTCAAAACTTTTCCATGACTTCTTCCTGACCTAAACTGAATTTTACATGATTTTACAGCACCTACATGTGTAGAATTGATCAGACTTTTAGGGCTAAATATGAAATGTTAACTCTTTCACATTATGGTTTGGTTTTATAGATTTTTTAACATTCAAAATACTGTCAGTGCATTTATTGTCATCTCTGTTTAAACAAAAGGTGCAGACGTTCAGAAATAATCATAATGGCCTAATGAGAACTTAACAGGACGCTGTAGTTGCGTGAAAGGGATACTAAAATTCCATGACTTTTCCAGGCCCGGAAAATGACATTTTCAGTTTCCATGACTTTTCTAGGATTTTCATGACCGTGGGAACCCTGTCTACTTCAAATTTATTCAATTAGATGTAGTTTTCTGGCTTTTCTGTAGGAGTTTTGCTTCATGAGGATGTTATTGCTTTGTCTGGAATGTTTCACAATGTGGCATTAAACCTCTATCTTCATGGAGACCAAACCAGGCCAAGTTACAGGTCGGATCTGTGGAGCAGCAACCCCGCTCACAGTCAGAATGCCCGTTTTTCTGTGTATTTTTGAGCTATAAAACCACCTGTAATTGAATAAATGTGAAGTAGAGATGTTTAATGTCACACTGTGGAACATTCAGAGCAATGACATCTGCACAGAAACAAGCAGGTTACAGACGAGTATGTGGGACACTGAAATAAAACGGTTCCATGTTAATAAGTATACATGTGTTTCTGTATCATTACCTCTCCTCTATCTTGGACTTGTCCATCAGAGGCTGTTTGATCCACTGGTTGACGAGGCGCTGGCCCTGAGGAGTCCTGCATTTATTCAACAGACCGGCCAAAGAGTGAGCGCCACTGGTGTCGTCTGGAGAGCCCTGGAAATACACAAGTATCGGTTTGACATTTGTTTAGTAAGAGAAATAACCCTTTGAGATAAATTTTCTTTTTGAGTTACAATAAAATTAGATGAATGTAGTTTTTGTTATTTGGTGGTATTGTGGTGTTCTTAACCAATTTTAGCTTAGCCCCTGGGCAGTTCTGGTTTAGTCCTGGGTCTTAAAAGTTAGACTACGTTCAGACTGCAGGGCTTAACACTCAATTCCGATTTTTTTGTGAAATCCGATGTTTTTGCGAGGTCGTTCACATTTCCAATTAAATGCGACTTGTATGCGATCCCCTGTGTGAACAGTAAACGGCTCGAAAGTGTCCCGCATGCGCACTGGAGGACACGACGACGTCAACCGCAGCGAGCGTGCTCTGTTTTTACGGAAGTTGTCCAAACATGGACGCGAGCATTGAGCACCTGGCGATTTTAAAGTTCCTCTCGTACCGGAGCCAGAACATGAACAACTTACTTGTTTTAAGGAGGAGATTGAGAAGGAGAAGGACGAGGTTTTTGGCCGTGGTGTTTTGTGGAACAGCGGCAGCGACGTCCGTTGAAAGGAACGTGTGGATGAGGAGACGTAGCCAAAAGTGGTGAGTGGTGATGTGCTTCACTTCAGTGACACGGAGTTCATTAACAATTTTCGCCTACTTCAGCACAGAATAGTGACGTTTGTGGCTTGTTGATAATGTGTAGGTTGGATGAATGCGCTTTGGCCGTTCACACTGAAGTCGCATGTCAAAAGATCAGATATGTATCGGTTTCAGGACCACATATCCAAGTGTCCTGGGTCACATTTAGTTCTGGTTTTGGATGTACCCCCGTTTTAGTCTAGCTTTTGGCATTTTTAAACATGAATACATTATACCTACAATATAAAATAAAACTGTCGCTATAATGAGTAAAATGAAAAGACTTCTAAATCAATATTCCCCTTTACAGTGTAACTTTATTCCTTCCATACCTAAACTACTGTGTGGAAATATAGGGAAACACTTCAAATATTAATAAAATTGTTCTATTCCAAAAGAAGGTTATTAGGATTATTAATCATGCAAATTACTATGCACTAACAAATTCTCTTTTTGTTAAGATAAAAGTACTTCGATTTTTCTATCTTGTTGACCTGAGTACAGCTGTAGTGATGTACACGATCTATAAATCTGCTTTCTCCTTGTTTACAGGAGTTAATTGAGCGAAGAGTCAGTATAACCTTAGAGGAACCGGTATCTTTAAAAAAAATGAAGATAAAAAAAAAGAAAAAGAAAAAAAAGTGATTGTATTTCTGTTAGGAGGGTTAGTATATGGAATAACCTGAGTGATGATTTGAAAAACAAAAAACAAAACAAAAAAGTATAAAGCTTTGTTTTGAAAGCAACAGAGCTCTGGAATGAATGAATTATGCTTTAAATTTAGTTTGTTTCAATTTATATTTTGTCTTATGTATACAGCAAGTCATAAGTGAAATTGTAAATGTTAACTTGCTGTTCATACGCTTTTTTTTTCTTGGAATTCTGTCATTGTTTAATAAGCTTTGGCATTATAAGTACTTTTTACTTCAGCCTAAACCCTTTCAGTCATGATCTATGGGATTGTAGTCTATGTTTTGTTTTATAGTGTTGTAAAATGACCGAATAAACTACTTCTACTACACATGATACAATAAATAGGCCTAACGCTAACACTTTTTGAAGCACGCTATACCGCCGCAGAAAAATTATGTGATAAACAAGAATATTTTTTATCACCACACACACTCTATTCTGTGTCTCTCACCTGGAACAGATTGAGGGCTCTGACCGCGGCGTTGTCCAGTCTCATGTACTGCCCCAGCTCCAGAGGCTTCAGACTGAACGAATTGAAGTTGGACTCATCAGAAAGAAGCTCCAAAAACCGAACCACAGCAGCCAGACACGACATGGCCACCTGCAAATACAGACAAGAGCATGAGCTTAAAACGCTAGAGTAGAACGTAGAAACGCAAGTGTAAAAGCAGGATGAACTACACTGAGCGTGATCAAATTTTGAATCAAGTATTATCATTTCGTAGCCAACAAACGTGAAAGTTGGAAGGTCAAAAATGGGCACTAACTGGACTACTGGCATTTTATTATTAGATAGAGTAACAATAATCGTGCATTGATTAAAATTATGCTTATTTGTAAAGCGATGTAATAAACTTCTAATCTTCACCTGTTTGTCAAGTTCAGGCAGAGTGTTGCTGGCTACAGTCTCTCCTCTCTTTGCCCTGAGCAGTCGGTTCAGATCCTGCACAACGTCTTTGCTGCTGAAATCTGCTCTTTTCCGGTCAGACACCAGGATCCCACCACGCTGCACCACCTTAAGAAAAAAGAAGAAAAAGTATTTGAGAAGAAAAATTTAAAAATATTAGAAAAGACAAAAAAATAAATACAAAAGAAAGAAAAAGTATTAGATTGTTGGGTTTCAGATACATCACAGCATTCCAAAGGCCAATAATATTTAATACAGATGGGGGGCACATAGAGTAATTATTGTTCAATTGCAGATTCTTGTTGTAATACAGCATGGTCTTGGGTCTAGTCAGTAGCAGAAATGATCAGGTTCCATATTTGGGAATTTACCTTTCCAATATTTCATAGCAAAATACAATGTAATTGTAAGGTCCAAACATTTGTGAAGTCATAGCTGACGCTTTGTGCACCTTGTTCCACCTTTAAAAATGATTCAAAAGTGAAAGAAACCACAGAGAGCGATCCACGTGCAGTGAAAAACTCTTTACCGAGTATTCACATAATTGAGAAAAACAAAACATACAAAAAAGGGAACTTTAACATGTAGGTGACAGGAGGTCAAAAAACAGTTTGGCTCCACTTCACTCCCATTGTGCACCTGTGGTCACTTTAAATAAGGAGCCATAGACCACAAAATAATATAAAAAATAAACATTAAGTAAAATTATTATAAACATTAGCAATAATTAATTGAAAGAAAAAATGTAAATAGATCTAATTATTTTTAAGCAAATAATCAACAAATAATCATGCTAACCATAAAGAATTACCAAAATTACTAAAAATCATGCATTTAAGTAAATATTAAATCAAACAAAACAATAATAATTATCTCAGTAATGAAAAAAATTATGAAACTGGGTTTAGGCTCCCACATTAATCAATAGGAAAATCTGGCTCTTTCCCCCATCTGGAAGTATGACACTATCACATTGTAAAATCTGAAAACTGTCAATTAAGCTTCTCCTAGATCTGTACAGAACAGTAAGATACTGCTTCTTCTTTTTCTGATAATTTCATTAATATGATTATTGCAATGTATGGGGAGTACGTCTTCTGACTAGTATCAGCTGATATTAAACATGGACGGATACTTAAATCTTAAGTATCAGTATATATGTTCAACTACAATAGCTGAACCAGTTGATCCTCACAAGTTGTTATAAAGTTACTGCTCGTACCATAATAAGTGTAAAAGGCCCTTTGTTTGTTGTGTGAAGCTTTTCTAATGACACAAAAGCACGCACCTCTCTGAGTTTACTCCCCTCTGAGCTGCACTCCCCTTGGGGCAGGAGACACTCTTTAGCGCTGATCTGGACCAGCAGGGACTCTAGGTTGGAGAAGATCTCGTTGTCGGGGAATTCGCAGACTCCCATGATCCTTTCCGCTGCGTCCACGTAACCCACGCCCACCACACGTTGTCCGTCTGCGGCTGTGGCATACCGTACCGCCACCACTCCAGCACAGCCCTCGGCTCCGGACCCTCCACCAAACAAGATGTCCTCAAACTGGGTCAGATTCCCCGGAGAGGCCTGAGAAGAGAGTATACAGTGTGAAAACTAAACACTGAAAATAACATAACACAATATTATAGATTTAAAAATTACTCTGAATATTTTTCCATGACTAAATGACAAGTTCCTGAGTGTAAATGCAAGTGGAATAAGCAGTCAGTGAGGAATTACACTGACCATGATCCTTTGCATTTGTATCCATAAATTTGATGATGCCAATGTTTTATGAGTGGAAGTTTGGTGGTTTCAGTTTAGTCATTTTTTTCCTTTTATTGCCCATATCATTGTTTGATTTTCTAACTCTGTTAATTCAACAATTTAGTGAATCCCTACAAGGTAACTGCAGTTGAGATTTTGAGGTCTTAAAAAATTAATTAAATTGAACATTTGTTGTGTCAGAGGGCAAGACATTTCTCTCACCCAATTTATGTTAATGTGTTTTTTATGCAATTGGTGATAACCTTTAAATATTCCAATAATGACCACGTGCACAGCTTGAATTTTTTAATGTTGACCTTATGAATCTGGGGTTTGTCAATGAGAATTAGAGTGTCCACGTTACTTTAACAAATGTGTAAAAATCATTTAGTTTCAGTTTTTAGCACAAGACATGCACATGCAAACTCACTGCACAAAGGAACTAATAAAAATTATGAACGGTTTTCCTTCACAAGATAAAACTGATTTGGCACTTTATAATATCTGATGCTCAAAATTACCTTGTACTCTAGTTTCCAGTCCTGCTCCTTGCTGTTCTTGCTCTGATTCCTGTAAACCTCCACTCGATACTGCCTCACCAGCAGCAGATCTTTCACAAAAGTCTCAAAGTTAAGTTTATTCAGCACCACACTCTCCAGCCTGCGGTTCCCTACAAAAAAATACATACAATTTAAATCAGTCAATAAGCTGTTTGCATTGTTGTGGTCAAATATGTGTTTATTGTTTACTAAGATTGCATAATGGGCAAGCCTACACAAGTGAAAACTCTGCATATTTTCCTTAGGATCGCAGTTAATAATCTCTTTAGCCTAATAAACCCAGAAATGTCAGGTATGCTGCTTTTCCATTAGTCACTTTGATCTACTCGGTTCTACTAGTTTCTACATTGAACAAAGTAGGCACTAGTGGAGAAGGACCATTATTTTAATTTGATGCACAGAAGGCCCACTGTTACATGGGTTTAACACAACTGCCACGTGATTTATTAGCATTGAAATGCAATTATATGCACTGATTAAAAAGTCAGATGGTGCTTTGCTAGCCACCACTCGCTAGCCGCTGTACCTGAGCCCAGATACTTCAGAACTCCATTGGTTTTGAAAACTTCTTTCGCTGCAAACGTGGCGTCTTTTCCGTGCACGGTGTAGTAGTCATTACGGTCAAACACTCTGAATGTCGTGTCTGGTTTCTCGGGCATAGAGAAATAAAAGCTGAGGAAGCCGGTTTCGGTGGCGCTGTCCATGGACAGGTTCTGTTTGGGCTGCACCGCCATGCTGCAATCTCCCGCGTCTGCCAAACGGAACCCGGAAGTGGCGTCGCGTTCAGTTTCCGTCGGTTTCCTTGACAACGAGAACAATGATTGTATTTATATTTTATTATTTTAAAGTATGCGCTCATTCTTTTAATACCAAGTTTGGTGTTGATATAATAAACTTTAAATTAATTACTTTAATAAATTCTAAATGTTCAGAAGACGCTGCATTTCCATAGCAACCATGATTTTGCATATACTGTGGTCAGTGTTGGGGAGTAACAGATTACATGTACCGGAGTTACGTAATCAGAGTACAAATTATGAGCAACTGTATTCAGTTACAGTTACTGTTTCATTGAGTGGTAATTGGATTAGTTACTTGGTTGAAATAAATGGATTACACAGCGGTATTTTCCCGTTTTTAAACCAAGACAAAAAAAACAGGACTAAACCAAGACTAAACCAGGACAATATCAAGTAATCCAAAGTATTCAGATTACATTACTCACTAATTTAATGGATTACGTTACATTTTGGTGTATGTAATCTGTAGGGGAATACATTTTTAAAGTAACCTTCCCAACACTGACTGTGGTAGCCTTCCATAGGCAAATTAATTCTGTAATCTAGGCCACAAGACATGCAAAAGCAAGATGAGCTACTTTAACTCTACTTTTCATTAGCCTAATTACTAAAGTAGGCTAAATCAGTGGATGCTTAAAATTTATAAAATCCCATATCTTTTTTTGATAGTGGTTATTGTGGGGGGAAAAAAAAAAGTTTTGGAACAGTTAATACTTAATGAAATTTATACCGTGTGGTCTGATCATTTGCTTACCATTAAATTAGATGTGGCAGACATTGGATATGGAACTGATAAACTATTGAAAGCCATAACTAAACAGATCCAAGTTTCAGAGAATTGCTGTAAGCACATGGAAAGAAAGACACTGATCTATGGTTCTAAGATGTAATGAAGCATGTGACAGCATTATGTTTCCAAGAAATTTTATGCACAGCAAATAAAAACAGATCAATAAACTGTGCAACCCAACAGTGATCATACACAAATCAATAAAATCCCCTAAACAGTTAAGCAAATGTCATTGCATATTAAAACATTAACATCCCCTTTTGATTATCTGGCACAAGCCCAAAAAAAAACCCCCAAATAATTAAAGTTAAATTAATCAAGCAGTTAAAGAACTTAATCATGCAGTTCTTTAAAAAAAAATTTTTAGCAAGGCACATTGGGTTAATTAAAAAACCAAAAAACATGATCATTTAAAACAAAAAATAGTGAAAAATCAAAACATTAGGCCAAGATGACCCTGTAGTACTTGATCAATAAGCCCAAGTAATCAATAAAATCACAAAAAAAAATTAAAAAGTCAGTTGGAACATGGTTGTGTTCACTACATCCTAAAGTATAATTTTACGTTTTCAAAGCAGTACCAGGGGGCTTCTACAAGTCTATAGCCAATTTTGAACAAACAGAAAATCCACAAATATCGAGTCTTTGAATAATGCAACCACTTCATAGTTACTGAAAATAAAAAAAGACTCACTGAACTTTGTGCCAGTGTTTATGCATTTAGGCTCTAAACAGCAGATACTTAGTAACTACAATTCCTGACCCATTTGCATGAAACAAACCAGCACAATGTCCAATGTATTCTATAAAAGCATGTATGAAATAAGTAGGGATGCACTGGTCTTCAATTACAATACCAATACCTTGTCGGACTGGAAAGGAGATCTGTTTCTTTACCTATGCAACATATTTGGATCAGTTATTTTTGTTTAAGGGTGGACCAACTTTTCTGATGTGGATCATTACCAGCTTTTCTCAATGGAAACAGTATTTGTTTGCCTGAAATGTTCCACAGTGTGTCATTAAACTTATCTTGCATGTATTCGATTGCAGGCGTTTGTTTTGGGAGTCACTTGACTTGTAACCTGACCTGATTTTTGTCTCCATGGAGATAAGTGAAATGTCAGAATGTGGAACAGTCTAAGGTAATAACTTCTGGTGGAGTTTGTAACCACTCCATAGAACAGCAGGTGAACAATTGCACCTTTAAGTTGTTGTTTCTCTCTGAACAAATTTGAACCTGAATCTGAACAAAAAAAGATTAAAATTCAGCAAGGATAACTGAACAGGGAGAAGTCTGATTCAGACTTTTTTCAGTACTGGCGCTACTTTTAGCATTTATGCATCCCTAGAAAGCTTTATATGATCAGAGCAAGAAGTGGCAGCATTACTCAAACACTAGTCAAGTGAAAGAACCGTCAGCTATGATTAAAATTGCAAGTTTAAAAAACAATCAATTGTTAGACTGAACATTTGTGGATTTTCTTCATACATTTCATTTAAAGTCACCCCCATAGTGTTTGTATCTGAAATCATGATTTAAAAAAATCTTAAAATGTAGGGATGGGACAAGACAAGTCCTAATCTATAAATTTCACATTTCAATCTCCAATTTAGTCTTACATTTTTTGTGTCCATTCCAATACTTTTGTTTACAAGCTCGTAGCAGTTTTGTCTCACGAGATCTTGTCACATCCCTGTTTAATATGTGAACACAACCTACTCAAAGGGTAAAATGGTTCTTCTAGTTCACTAGTTGGAGCAGGTAAATTTTGGCAAGAATGCCAAGAATCAGAATGACCAGCATGACAAACAGAGCCAGGCCACGGGAAACGAACAGCCGACCTCGGGAACCAGCGGGCGGAGTCTCAACAGCGACATCAGCAGGAGCTTTGGAAGAATAAGTAAATAGTTAATAAATCATGATTTGCAGTGTATGACAAAGTTAATGTAAAAGATGAGAATTAAGTCTATTAGTTGAAAAGTTGAATTACAACTTCTGACGTTGATTACAATTTTTTACTGGTTTAAAAAGGTGGACTGTAACTTCTGCTTGCTACTTGTTGCCATGGAAAGGTTATTGTTCACACTGTGGAACACTTTAAAGAAAAGCTAGAGGCCAATTTGACAAATTCAGAACTAAACTCCTAGCTCCTTAAACCAAAACCAGATGTATGAATAGTGCAGGAGGAGTTCGGAAGAACCAATTATCTATATCGCTTGAAAACTTGAATAGCAATTACTACACCTTGATATGAATTATTTTTTTTAAACCAATAAAAGGTACACTGTGCAACTTTCCTGGCAGAAGGTCCACCATCTGCTTGTTGCCATGGAAAGGTTACTGGAATATTCCACAATATGAAAAACTGTTGTATGGTCCAAAGTGATTTTAAGCACCAACACCCATAAATGGACTTCACTGAGGTGCAGTGTTGGGAGTAACAGATTACATGTACCGGAGTTACATAATCAGAGTACAAATTATTAGTAACTATTCAGTTACAGTGAGTGGTAATTAGATTACAGTTACTTTGAAGTAAATTCATTACACGGTGGCATTTTCCTGTTTTGACATTTCGGGCTATATCCCTTTTTTCCTTTCTTCCAGTAATTCTACCCATTGCCGGACACTAAACCCAGGACTAAACCATGCTGCAGGGACCTCGTCTCCTAATCAATATTTTTAATTTGGTTGAGTAAAGTCTGGGCTTTTTTTTTTTACTTTTAAAACAGACAAAACTTAAGATTTACTCATCATTGCTTCTCTACAGCAAATCAAGTAATCCAAAGTATTCAGATTACGTTACTCACCTTAATTTAATGGATTCCGTTACAAACTACATTTTGGGGTATGTATCTGCAGGGGAATATATTTTAAAAGTAACCTTCCCAACACTGCTGAGGGGGCAGGATCTATGCCAAAAAGTTGTAAAGTGCACCTTTAAGATTTTAGACTCATTTCGTTTTACATTATTTTTGACTAGTTTTGATGTAATTAATGCAATTTTAATATGTAGCTTGTCTGCAATTTTCTTCACCGGCTTCACTTGAAATTTTAAATCTGCCAAATAATCTATTAAAACTAAACACCTTGTTAAAAACTGCCAGAACTCAGAAATGATTAAGTATTCATATTCGCAAGTAATCCCAAACATGGATATTTACCAGAGGTTAAATCTGTCATTTCCACCTCATTTTCATCATTAGCTTGGACTCCAGCTCTCAGTTGGGCCTAAACAAGGAAAAAATAAAGATTGCAAATTAAACACGTTGGTTACATTTACATCCAGAGTCTCCATCACGTTCCACTGTTGTACCAGGTCCTTGTTAGTGAAATTTAGTTGCAGAATATTCAATACCTGCATTAAAATGTATTTTGTAACATTCTGATACATAGGTCAATCTGAGTGCTGTATTATGAATACTTTAACACCAAGTTGCATTTCAATTAAACATTCAAAACAGGGAAAACTTGACAGTGAGAAAAATTTAAAATATTGCTCTTATAGCCTGTACATGTGATTTTTCCTTCTGATCAGTGATAGACTTCAAACTGCACAGAATCAGTGAAACAAAGCTGAGATCATGTACAGCTTGTATGCATTACTTTGATTTAGAAAAGCAACTTCTGTATCTGTATTCTCTGTACATGTTTTCAGCCATTTCCCCACACTAACGATTATAAATTTATTATGATAGTATGGGTCATATAGAGAACTACAGTCTGTGGTATGAACTTGCCTCTTTCGCAGCCTCACGCCAATCAAGTTTCCAGATGATGAAAATGTAGACGGCCGACTGAAAAGCCACACAGATAGTGATGCCGATCCCAAGCCCTGAAAACCAAAACAAGTCAATAGGCGTAAATACATGTTTGACCTCCTGAGGCTGCACAGAGAGCGAGTAGTCTTGATTTTGCGGAAAAGTTTGTCAAATGTGTTAATTACAGTGTTAAACTCAAACAAGGCTGGAGTCTAGAAGTTTCGGCATTTTGTGTGATTAGAAGTCCGAGCTAAGGACCCACCCACATACAGGCAAAGCATCTAAAACCATGTAATCCAAAAAATTAAAAGTACATTTTGCCCAAATCAGGATAAATCACCAGTTGTGAGTTAAAATATGTTAGAAGGCCAAAAAGTCAGACTGAGTACGACATCTCCCGCAGTGCTGGGCTCAAGTCAAACGAAGCTCAGGAATGAATTAGGAGCCAGGTCCATATTGCGAAATTAAAAGACCAGGATCATGTAGCAAGAGAGGAGTGACAATTTTTCAATATAAAGTCAGTTGTTAACAGTGTTGGGGAGTAACAGATTACATGTACCAGAGTTATGTAATCTGAGTACAAATTATGAGTAACTGTATTCAGTTACTGTTTCAGTGAGTGGTAATTGGATTACAGTTACTTTGTTGAAATAAATGGATTACACAGCGGTATTTTCCTGTTTTCACAATTTGGGCTGTATCCTTTTTTTGGTAATTCCACTCATTGCCGGACACTAAACCAGGACTAAACTAAATCTAAACCAGGTCTTAACCGTATTTAAAATATTATTGAGAAGACAAGACATGATTTAGTCCTGTTAAGGAAAGTCTGGTTTTTTTTATTTTGTTTTAGCAGACAAAACATCTTATGTGAAGATATCCTCGTCTTTGCTTCTCTACAGAAAAATAATCCAAAGTATTCAGATTACGTTACTCACTTAAATTTAATGGATTGTTACAAACTACATTTTGGTGTATGTAATCTGTAGGGGAATACATTTTAAAAGTAACCTTCCCAACACTGGTTAAGTGGTATGCACGCTGATTGTAATATGATGATGCTCTGAAGGGGAAGTGACTCAATACGAAGAGCAAGAGGGGTACTCTACATCAAAAACTAAATTTACCAACTTTAACACATGGATTTTAGTGACTATCACACAGTTCACCTTTAAAGTAGTAACAGTTGAGTGATGGAGCACTCTGGGGGTTGGTTTCTTACCCACGATGCCCATCTTCACCGCAAACATTAAAGAGACGCCGATAGGGAGTCCAATGAGGTAATACCCGATCAAGTTACACACAGCTCCGATTTTCTGCTTTCCGACTCCTCTGAGGACCCCTCCAGACACATACTGCAAACAAATGCACTTTTAACTCACTTTCATAAAACAAATGTGACACAATTAACTTATCTTACCGCCAAGGCATCAACGGGGAACATGACACCGTAAACAACAGCCACGTCAGACACACGCTTGATAATTTCCCTTAAAGTAAAACAGACAGATTATAATATTTATCCACGAGTCCAGATGGATTAGTCCAACTCTGATAACTTATTCCTGAGGTCTCAAAATTTGCATGAATTAATCTTAGCTACAAATAAGACTTGATTTTTTTTAAATAAATCAAGTATTACTAGGTGTAGGAAGTAGGAATGCGCAAATAGCATACCTTATTTGCTATCATGTTAAAAATTTTGGTGGACTGGCATTTGCTTCCAAGACATCGGTTCAGCCAATATCTGATTTTGTATACGTGGTGGATACCTCTGCCACCACTCCAGTGTTAATATCATTTCACTTACATCAAGTTAATTACAGCATATATAGTTTAATTCCTTAAGATTAATATTTTAATTTGGGTGCACACAATTTAGTTAACGTAAATCTGAATTTACTTGCACTTGTTTTTGAGTGACCAGACGGAGGACCCTTGACGGAGAGCATCCATGCTGAACAAAGGGTTCGTTTGTCTAGTTTAATGTCACCATCACTTATTTTCTGTATTATACTTATTTGCCTTGTTACTTTAAGTTAGCAGTTTTAGTTAATATAGTGCAATTCTCTTTTGTGTTCAGTTTTAGTTTGCTCATGTATTTGAACAGAACAAAACTAATCCTATGAGACAAAGAACAGGTGTTTAGTTTGATTTAAGTTACCTCAGTTGAGCCCGGTTGTTTGTGCCTTTAATAAAATCCAAAAATTACATCTTTTAGGATTTCATTCAATTTAAACCTTGTATTTCTGTTTGGCCCACTACAGTATATAAAGTGATACAAGACAATTTGCTGGCAAAACATCATTTAAAAATGTTTTAATTTTACAAAGCAGTTCTAATTACTTTAAGTGATAGTTAAACGCAAAATCACATGGGATCATTTACCATGTGTCGTTTGTGTTTAAAGGCCAGAGTCTGTCAATATTGGGTATCAGCAAATAAAGCCAAAGTATCAATAACTGTATCAGAACAAAGAAGGCTAGATCAGTGCCTCTAGTAAGAACGTAAACATTTCAGAGGCTTCTAATGGTATAAACCCAAAATGAATAGACTACATTAAAATAATTTGCTTCATTCATAATTCGATAATATGTAGAAACAAATTTTATCCCAACAATATTTTCAAATTAGCCAAATGTCTAGTTTGAATACCCATTTTGGAAGAAATTTGGTTTCGTTTCTTCTCCAAATACAATCAGAAGTGAGTACTGTACTTTTTACTCAGACTTGAATTTCTTAAACTTTCTTGTACTTCTATTTGAATAGACTTGAAGTGTCATTACCCTCACTTGTATTCAGAAGGAGGTAGAGTAGTCAAATTGTACACAACGCAACAGTAGCAGAAATAATGAAACTTAACTCACTGTTCTTTAGTGAAGACGTATCCAATGTAATCCTTTAAAATAATCATCAGCAGTCCAATAACAATTCCAATAACAGCTGGCAATCAAACAGAAAAAGGAAAGCAATTTAAACTAATGATTAAAAGCTTAAAATCATAGTCTAATATCCAAAATATATTACTTGCACAAATCACCGGGACTTTGGCGGAGAGTTTTGCCTGCTCAATGCGATTAGCACCAAGAGCATTACCAACATGAGTACTGGCGGCTGAAGAAAAAGCCAAAGGGATCTGAGGAAAGAACAGATTTGAATAAGTATTTAAAACTGATCAATACTATGATAATTTAGTGGTGAGGAATATAATCCAAATATAAAATTGCACAAGTCCCATTGAAGATAATATATGACTCAGTATCAATATGATTCAGTGCTTTTTGTTAGCAAAGTTAACTTAAAAAAAAAAGGAACACATGTTTTGTACTTAGTTCCAATGCTGATATTATTTAAATTTACCACAAAGGTGATGGCGATCAGCTGATACATGACACTCTGCGCTCCCAGTTCGACTTCACTGATGATTCCGGACAAAAATGATCCGAGTTCAAACACCCAGAATTCCAGACACAGCATGAGCAGACTGGGAATGGCCAATTTAAGGAAAGTCAACCAATCCTGCAGACAGTCCATGGACCAGCCTGAGGGAGGAAGAGTTTAAAGTTAAAGGGTTAAAAGACTTGCCTAAAGTGGTTCTATATAACTTGGCAGAAACCTAGAACCACTTTAGGCATGTCAGAGGGAACATTATGTCATTCATGCATGTTTGAGTAATCTAGTGATCTCTCCCAGGCCCTATTTGAATCAGACTTGTGGTTTACACTGAAAAATTGTCCCCCTCTAACTGCTGCTGTCAGGCCTTTTCCCTCTCCACTGGCTTCCAGTTTAGAGATGATTTTTAAACGGTCTGTCCACTGCCCCCGTAGGGCATTAAGGTCAAGCAACCAGCTTCTACTGGAAGTCCTCAAAACCAGACTCAAACACTGGGATGACTGCTTTGTCACCAGCTTTGGACTCCAACAGATTCTCCCAACATGTGCATCATCATAGACTTTGCCCTCTTTAAATCCAGACTCAAAACTTATCTTTTCTGGCTGGCAATTAACACTTAGTAATGCAGTGACACTTTGCACAAATTGCTTTTGATCGTTTTTATATTGGAAAGCAGTTATCTTGAGTGTTGTAAAGGTCTCTCGATAAAGTTTGATTAACCTGCTCTACATGATCCTGGTTTTATTTTGTCTGCAAATAAATTCCTATTCCAATATGAAAAACACTGCTCCAAATTCGCTTCTACAACTGCTAGCCTAGTGAGCTTCATTTGACTGGACTCCACTTCTTCATACAGTCTGTACGATCCTGTCCAAAGCTGAGCCCACAAGCCTGAGTTGCCCAAACAATTTTCCATAAATGTAGAAAACCATGAAATAAACACTACATCTTCAAACTGGAGGAACGCTGGCCGATTGTAATGCGACAGTGATAAGACTAACCAAAACGCCATAACTTCACCCGCTTGTCTCCATGGAGAAAAATACTGCCTGGAATGTCACAGAATGCCTTTAACTTTACCTGCTTATAGGGATAACACATTTTTGACCCACCTGCCCATGTTTCTTTGTGGAGACCTTTCGCAATGATGTAAAGGCACAAAATACCGGCCAACGAATACTGAGTAATGAGATTGGCTGCTGCAGATCCACTGTAAGAAATTTAACATTTACTTAAAAGAAATGAGTAAATACTAAAAGAAATATCCAGACACTCACGCTACACCCAGTTCCAGAGTGTACAGAAAGACGTAGTTGATAATGGCATTTAAGACGTTCCCGATTACTCCAGTTATAACTTGAGGCCAAACAATTTTCTGGGAACAAAAAAGCAATACATCAACAGTCCTTTGAAGACATCAAATATGAAAATATGGAATTTTGACAAAGACAAAAACAGCCCAAGTATTTCATAACAAGATCCTTAAAGTAGCCACCCTTTGCTTTGTATAAAAATACTCGTTTGCATGTGGGTGTGTCCAAACTTTTGACTGGCATGTTTAACCAAAGTTTTTTTCTATACATTTACTACTTTCTACATTTTATACATGCAGAAGACAAATATATGAAGATGTGGAATTATGTAGTAAAGAAAAAAGCTAAAACTTTAATATACACTGTCAAGTTTGGACACCATTTCACTGTGTTTTGATCCATTTACTACTTTTTGCAGTTTATATACATATAGAAGACAAATTTCTGAAGGTATATAGAATTGTGTAGTAAAAATAGTCAATATAGTTTTTGTTGTTTGGACAAACCATACATTTTAGATACAAAGAGGTGAAGCTATGGAATTATTTAATGGAGAAAAGTTATTTATAACATTTTCAAATCCTCAAAGTAGCCACTCTTTGACAAAAAATAAAATAAAATTATCTAGGAGTCAACCTTCTCTTTGCCGCAATACATCACAGTACCACATAATCCCTTATATCTTGCTTTATATATTTGATGACTTCCATATGCATTGAATATATAGAAAGTAGTCAAAATAAAGACAAAACTGAATGAGCAGGTGTCCAACCTTTTGACAGGTAGTGTAAATATATAAAACAAAATAATTTGTGCTTGTTGAAGACTCTGGCCCCTCACCTGGTTTTGTAGGTACTTCCCAAGAAGTGCATACATGAAAGCAGCCTGAAAAATAGAAATTCATATAATTATTAAAGGCCTTTATGTAGAAGAGCAAAGAAATTCACAATACAGTTACTTCAAAACATGCACTAAAAATAAAAAGACTTACTGGTAAGGCTGGCATGAAAACATTGACGTACAACTGAGCAAGACTAGAGTGAAAAGGAAAAGTAAAGTGGTTATTCTTTGTATTAAAATTAAGTGGTTCAATTGCTAAACGCACACAATATATTAAAGCTCAGAATGCATAAAAAGGTATGGGACAAATACATTTGGACCACTGCAAACTGTTTAGAGTCCATATTATGCCATTATCTGATCTATTATGTTTGCTCATTAAAAACAGACCTGGAGTTGTGTTTTGTTTGATTTACACATTTAAAAAACACACAAAACCTGCATATTTAGGTTGAGTACTGTGACTGAAACAGAACTCCGGGCATAATTTTGATGAGGCACGAACAGTCCGTCTTAAAGCTCACAAGAATCAGTTAAAAAAAACAAATACAATCCAATTCTCTTTTTAAATCCGGTACAATGTGAAAAGTCGACAATGTGCAAAACTGATAAACTCTTTAATCAGACCTAGCAACATCTCTGTTCTGCTTGGCGAGGATGAGGAAGAGCTCGGTGTTCAGCAGCACAGCCCAACAGGGGAAACAGGCCAACAGCAGAATGACGACGCCCTGCTGCAGAATCACACCAACTCTCTTCAGGTTTCCGCTGCCAAACGTCTACAGGGACCAAAGCGAAAGAAAAGATCACCATGCACAAGAAAAGTAGTCACATGTCCAGTCAGAAAAGACGAGTGGAATTGGAGCTGTATCCTGTCTCTGATTTCAAAAATTTTCAGAGAGTGTGATTGACAGGCGGATTAACCAATCCCACAGTTTTTCCCCAAACCCAATTTAGAGACTCATGTGAGACATTCTGCCTTCTGATTGGATAATGAAAGCACCAAATTATAAACATACAGAAATTATAAAGGTTGCAGACAAATTATTGCTTTGCCTGGAATGTTTCGCAGTATGGCATCAAATCTTTGTATCCTCATGGAGAGCAAACCAGACCAAGTTACAGGTCAGATCTGTGGAGAGACCACCCCACAGAGTCAGGATGCCCGTTTTTCTAGGTATTTTTGAGCTATAAAACCACCTGTAATTGAATAAGATGGTCATACTGTGGAAAATTCCAGGCAATGACATACACATAGAAACAAGCAGCTGACAGATCCACAGTGCACCTTTAAAGTACCAAGTAGTTAGATACAGACCATTTTAACAATTTGCACAAGTTATTTTACACCTCTGAAGTCCCAAAGTGGATAGACTGAATGCAATTTAGCTGTAATGTGAATATTAAGTCAGTTTTTACCTGGGATATGAGTGTGTCCAAGGTCATAGACAAACCTGTGCCAATGACAATACCAAAGACATTCACCACCTGGAAAAATAAAAACATTATTAAAAAGGTCCAGGTCTTGTGGAGGTGTGCAGGACATTCTCACGATACATGAAACTCATTTGTGAAAAAATATTCAGTCGTGATTCTTCTGACATCTGCAATGTGACTGGGTTTAGTGGTGGAAGTACAGTACTCAAGTTTGTTAAGTAAGAGTGCAGATACTGGAGCAAAAACTACTCAAGTAGGTAGAAGTATCACATGAAGAAAATCCAAGTATTAAAAGTACCTCTTTAAAATGTACTAAGAGTAAAAATTTGGTGTTTTGTATTTAGACGTTTAGAGCTCTAACAAAGCTTCAAATGTCATGATTTATACAGATATGTGCCAAATTTTGTTTAAACTGAATTTTTTGCCATTTTTGTTTGCTCAAATTACAAACCTGTTAAAAATAAACTCCCAGCATGTCTCAAACTATAATACTTTGTACTTACTCCACTACATTTTTGAAGACGGCTGAAAAGATACCTGCTCTCAAATGCAGTGAAGTAAAAGTAAAACTTATCCACTATAAATGTACTGAAGTGCAGATACCTAAAAATCACACTGAAGTAGGGATGCAACAATAAACAAAATATCGTATCGTCAAAGTTCTCACAATATATCAAATTACAAGTCTTTTTGCTTAAATTAAGAGTTATGGTGCATCAATAACTAAAAAATATAGAGGGAACTACATAGACCATGATGCTTTGCTCCATTTCAGTGCAGACTAGAAGAAGAAATAACAGTTCTAAACACTTTTAAGCTTTAATTCTTTGGATTAAGTCTTGTCAAGGGTATTATTGTCATTGTTGTATGATTGGATATTGTCCCTCCCCACCATATCGTGAGCTTTCCCACGATATCGCAATAAATATCGTACTGAGGTTCATACCATGACGATATCTTTTGAGACTTGTATATCGTTACACCCTGATACTGAAGTACAGCACTTTACTACTTTTACTTTGTTTCGTTCTACCACTGTTGGGTTATAATTTTCCAATTTATGCTTTAAGTTAATTTTAAACTTTGCCCAGAAAAATTGCAAAAAGACTGAAATGTGACTGACTGAAACCAATACAAGAGTCCCATTTCAGAACAGTTTGTACAGATCTCAACGACAGGGTTTGCAATTTTTATGTAGAAAAAGACTGGACTTCACTTACTGCGATAGCCAAGGCAACACTGGCAAGTTCAATTTTCCCAAGATGACCACAAAACACTGTACTGACGAAGCCAATCAGAAAGATCATGGACTGGGAGATTATCTAGAAAGAAAAACATCATCACAAGTTTATTTTTACATGACAGGCTATTTTCGTACAACATTTAACTCCAACATTAAAGTTTAAAAAGGGTAACCCAATAAAAGATGCAGTATTCAACTTGATGAGCAAGCGGTAGTTTGTTCCCATTAAAAAGGTGCCCTGTGTAACTTTTACGGAGTCCACTTTTCGTCTTCATCCAGATGTTACTGCTTTGCCATGGTATGACATTAAACATATCATCTAGCTTTTAATAATTATGGGTGTCTCTATTGCTCAAAAAATAAAGTAATTCCTTCTCTGAACTGTAATGTAGTGTACAGCTGTAACCCACTTGTGCCCCTTGTGAGAAATGCGGTAAATATATACTGTGAAACATTCTAAACAAAGCAGTATTTCCATGGAGACACGCAGGTGGCGGACCCTCCTCTAGAAATATTAGGCAGTGCACCATCTTTAAAAAGAAGGGCCCTTACAGAAAAAATGATTTTCAGTCTGAAAAACAGAACTTTGTACTTTTCTACGAGGACATTTACCACTTTTTCCTTTAAATGCTCCTAAAGTAAACCGCGTTTTCTTACGGTGACACTTTAAATTAAACGAGAACAAGTTTGAGAAAAGTTTTGCCGATGAAATATGACAAAGTGGGTTTATTTGTGTAAAATATTCATGTGCATCAACATATCAACACTGCGCTGCTTCTCTGGGGGCTGTAACACGGTTTTATAGTCCGTGTTAAACTCATTTACTGTTCGGCAGCCCCATACAAAATAACGCTAACCCCAGTATGTGCCTCCTGTAAACTTCAGTCACGTTTCTCACCGTGGGCCCAACAAATTTGAACAGCTGCACGAGTTCATCCCGGTACAGTGTGGGGATGCGAAAGGCCACGTGTTTCAGGTGCGAGGTCGCGGACTGAGGTCTGGTCTGCCCGTCCTCTGTGGGGCCCGTGTCGGCCATGATCAAAGTTCAGCTGAAAAAACCACAGGCCTGAAATCAGGCCTGAACACACAGGCCTACGGCTGTGCAGGGCTTTTAAACGAGCACGTGCACTACCTGCACGCGCCTGCTAATAATCACCAGTAAGTGTAGGTTTAATTAGATCACCTGTGCATCTGCGCGAGGCCAGGTGTCTAATCAGCACGTCTCCCCCGAGGCCCGCCACGTCGGTCAGGTGCACTATGGAACTTTTCTGGTGAAGAGCCGCTTGTTTCCATGGAGATGTGACAGTCCCAGAACCGCTGGAAGCCATTTATAACAGGGCATGCTGTGAAAGAGTTTTTTTCTTAAAAAAAACCCCAAAACAAAACAAAAAACACACACTTAGCCTACAGGTCTATTTAAAATACATTTTAAATATAAATTAATAGATTGAAATTCAGCATTTACTGAAATATACACTTTAATATAATCTCTGACCATTTAAGAACAAAAACCCTTTCTCTCGCCACTAGTGGGCGCTGCAGCACCTCCAGCTCAACAAAGTTCCACTATTTGACGATACTTTCATCTTTCACTCTTCCATCTTCCCCTGTCCTCCTCCCTATTAAAACACAAGTTATTAATACTTTGTCCAAAATGTTTGTGTAACAGACCTATAAAAGGTAAACTCTTCTGTTTATCTATGAAAACACTGAAGGTGGAGCACAGCCAAAGCCCCTCCAGCAATAAAAATGTAGAAATACTGATATATTTATAATTGTTTTATTATTATTATTCAAATGGCTCTCCCAGAAGAAAGAAAGAAAGAAATGCCCACCTGTAACTGAATGAGAAAGATGCTACAAGTGTAATGCTTTTCTGTGGACCATGTGTGTAAAATCAGTTCATCTCTTTGAAAGAGCAGGTGACAAACACTTTACCAGAAAGGTTTCATAGTTTCATAGGCTACAAATTATTTGTCAATGATGTGTGTAAATTCAAAAAGCAGACACTTGTATTAGATTATGTTAAAATGTGCAATATTATAAGTAAAATTAAACAATGATTTACCCCCAGTAAGAAATAAGAATAAGTCAGCATTACAGTTGTTGTAATAGGTTATATATTTGATTTGAGCATTTTTATTATGGAGACAGAGCTCATGTTGTATGGCAGTGGTGCCTCTTGATGTAAACATTATATTATTATATTATTATAATAATGTAATAAATCAAATAAATATTAAATAATGATTAGAAAAGACGGTTTCCAGGCATCATTTTTATTATTATTCAATTAAAAAACGCTCACTGAGGCAAGAGTGAAAGGAATTTGAAGGTCTACAGTGTTTGCCACAAATTCTGCAATACAAATCATCATTTTATGTGACACACGTTTGGAATTATTTAATTCTTGGTTCCAGAAACTCAGTAATAAAACAATAACTCCATACACCTTCACTAGAAACATGTGGATGATTTCAACCCTGGAAGTGCCAAACTCTGCTGAACAAAGGGTAAAAGGAGCTGTTAATGTGAAAACTATCACAACATGACATCATAAGATGGAACAGAGGATTTTGAGCTTTGGAGATGGAGACACATTGATAATTAGGCCTACTCAGACATGTGTGAAGCACAACTCCAGGTATGTTTTTGCGTAATATAGGACCTTTAAATATCCTACTTTCATTGTAAGGACGTGTATATAGACTTGTCTGTGTTGGTGATGCTGCTGCTCTGCTACTTTGTGCGTCCCTGTGGATCCGAGTTCATAAAAGTACAGTAACATGACAGTAAAAGTAAAAGTACAGTAATTGGCGCGAGTAAAACAGTAACTCCACGTGGGGTCACGCGCTTAAAGAGACAGCTGTCACGGTCTGCACTTCAACACAGCTTCATCACAAACGAGTGGCGCAGCGGAGATGATTGACAGCGCGCTTAAGTGGCGAGAAATGCGCCCGAATCACGCTCGCTGCGCTCGGACTTTGATGACATTTAACCACAGTGACGAAACGACAGGCTTTGACGTGCGCGTGCTTTGACGAATGGGGCTCCGGTGTGTGCGAGGGTTATAAAAGCTGAGCGTGCGGCTGCGAGCGTCACTCCTCCTGCTGACCTGCACGTAGGGACCTCTCGCCTCTCTTTGCCTCTCTCCAAAACTCAACATGAACGGCCACTGCAACAGCAACGACGTCGTGGATGTCCATATCAACAACGGCTTCAGCGAAATCATCATCGACACCAAAAAGTCCACCGTGCACCGACAGCACGAGACCTCCCGCAAAGAGGCAGAGGACAAGTCCCGTCTCCCGGCCATCGAGGCGGCGTACACGTGCATCCTCCGCGAGCTCGGGGAGGACACGGACCGAGAGGGGCTCCTCCGGACTCCGCTCAGAGCCGCTAAGGCCATGCAGTTCCTCACCAAGGGCTACCACGAGACCATCTACGGTGAGTCATAGGCTGCAGGTGCAATCAGGAAGGGAGGCAGCTTGTCTCTTCTGTTTAAACTGCACATTTTAAGTCTTATATCAACGCAAAATGGACTCTTGTGAGCTTTTAGCCATGTTATAATGTTGTTATAACGTAGAGTTGCACGTATACCGCCTTGTGATGTCATGAAGTGGTAGTTTCAAGTCAACAGCTACATTTTTACCTTTTAGTTGAGTAGAGATTGGCATTTTCAGGGCTGACACGATCCAAATGATTCAAGTGAAGATGTATGGAGTTTAAAAACACAGTGGAGCACTTATATAGTAACATTAGGGATGTAACAATAACCGAAATCTCACAATAATACCGTGGGCTGTCACAATATATTGAATTACTCGTTTCTTTGCTTAAATGTATTTTTTAACAGTAGCAACAGCTTATAAACTTCGGGAACTACATATCCCATGATTCATTTCAGCACAGACAACACGAAGAGATGTTTTTACTTGAATTCTTGAGATTATCACGGTAATAACTCACGCCAAATCCTTGTCAGGGTATTTTAAAAGAAAAAACGTGTCCTATCTACAATCATATCTCCAAAATATCACAATAAATATCGTACAGAGAGATTTGGATATGGTTACATCCCTAATTAACATACAAAAATGTAGTTTTGATCTCAGAAATGCATGAGATCACTGGTAGTTTAGTTCATATTTATAGTGATTTATTAGTACTATTACCTTTCATTTGAATAGCGCTTTTCAAGAAACCCAAAGTGCGTCACAATAAAACACAGAACACACACATGAGAGAGGTTAGGTGGGATTAAAGGCCAGTTTAAGCAAATGTTTTGAACTTATTTGAACTGATCAGTGGTTTCAGCAGCTGTTTGCGTGTGCGGAGGGGAGAGTTTTCCAGCTCAAAGGGGCCTGGCGGTGTCTCAATTTACTTTCCTCGCTTCCTTTTCCTTGGTTCCTCTCCTCAGTCCTCTATTTTTTAGCTGTCAGTCAATGTGGTCTGTTAAGTGGTGTCCCAAAAAAAACCACGGAGGGAAGGAGTAACCATGAGGGAGGCTTCAGGAGGAAGATATCAAATAGCGAGGAGTTTATATCCACTTTCCTCCTGGTGTCTCCTCTCTGTGGGTGGGACTTCCTCACCTATTTCCTGCAGAATTAAGGAGAGGAATCAAGGAGGAGGAAGCATGGAGGGGGAAGATGGAAGAAAGAGAACTTGGTGGAAATATAAAGTTGTGTATTATTAGTGTATGAGAGTGGAAGTCCATGTTTTTCCATGTTTTTGTCTAAGAGGGAGCATGTGAATGACCAAGCACAGAACTTTGTGGCACACCTTTGGATAGTAACCATTTTTTGTTGGAAAAGCATGAATGAAACCAGGAAAGCACACTTACCAGTCAGTCAAATGTATTTTGAGAGGTAGGAGACCGCATCAAACTCTGTCTGCAGCTTTGAGTAGGTTGTTTCTGATCTTGATTAGACTTGTTTTAAAATCCAGATGATTCTAGTGAAGGTTTATGGAGTTTAAAAACACAGTGTAGCGCTTGCTGTATTACCACAAGACATCACAAGGTGGAAGAGAGTGTTTTCAAATTGAGAGAACTCTAATTATGCAGGGTTTGTGTGTTAAACGTGTGTGAGTGAATAAAAAAAAACAAAAACTCCAGGTATGTAGCTCAGAAAATGTCATAATATGGGCCCTTTAATAATATTAGAAGTGCTGATGGTGGAGATGCAGGCGCTTTGACCCGGGGTGTGGTGAATCTTACTGGAAGTAATTGTGGAATTTGGAACAGTAACAAATTTTGATGAACAATATATTGCTGAAGAAAATGTAACCCTATAAACAATAATAACTGAAACAAATTTAGGACAATGACACAATAATCTTAAAGTAGAACTATCCTGAGAAAGATATTCTAAAGGTATAGTCTGGTTAAAAACACAAACGGCTATAAATAAACGGCAAAATGAAATACTTTAGTTGTGTCTATAATGAGTCATATGTTGCTTATTCATCTCTGTACTGTTTAAATCTAAACATAGAATAGAGAAAAGACCAAACGTTCCCACGAGTACAAAGAAAAAGTATCAGTATAAACATTGACCTCCATCTAACAACATTTATTGAGCGATAACTCTATAGTAATTATTGTGACAAGCCTACAACGGTCTGGCGCCACCTAGTGCCTCTGCTCAATTTCATTTCTATCCAGCGACTAGATCAGGAATCAGAATACACTTGACAGTTCGCAAAAATCCCAGAAGTGTGAGTTCGTGCGCCAACCAATAGCGAAGAGACATATATTCTATGTTGGCAACGATTCCCGAGATTGAGGATTTAAAGCCGGAACAAAGAGAATGTTTGGTGAATTTTATCAAGCGGAAAGACGTTATTGCCTTTCTACCTACAGGATTTGGGAAAAGCTTACATTACATACGTCACGACCAAATAGCTGGTTATGGTTAAATAAAAAAATACCCGCCTACTGTTGAGCGAACGAATCCTAACGCTGCGAGGTCAGACGGTTTCTACGAAGCGAAACTGGCTGATGAATCGGGCTAACAAAGGTCCACTGGAGCTAGAAGTTGGTTAAAAGTGCATTGTGTAACATTTCTCGTGGAGGGTCTTCTGCTTGTCTCCATGGTGATGTTATTACTATTTATTTACTACAGTACAGCATTAAACAAATACTGTATAGTTTGCATTTATTCAATTGCATTTTTTTTTTTTCCTGAATTACCGTAAAATCATACATTATTACCATGAGTGGGACCACTTCTTCACAGATCTGACCTGTAACTTGGCCATGAAAAATCCATAATGTCTAAATGGAGCCAAGCAGGTGGCGGACCCTCTACCAGAAAACCTAAACCTTAAAAACATACACCAAGGACTTCAGGTGGAACTAACAAAGCTCTAACAAAGCATCTCTCCTGTTAAGATAAATGTATACTGTGCACTGTCCCTGTCTCATAAATAAAGTGAATAATTAAAATAAAAGTTACACAGTGTACCTTTTTAATGGTGGAGGAAAGTAAATGGAAAATAGTCACATTTTTATATAGCGCTTTTCCACCTTCAAGGCACTCGAAGCACAAACGAGGGTTGTTCTGTTGCCTGCTAATGATGATGGAGTAATGAGCTGCCTTGGCTGTATCCAGGGCACCTTTAAATGAGGAAGGCTTTTAGGTGAACAGTGTGACCAGTTAGTTTGTTTCTGTTTGATCCTTGACATGTTTTTAAAATCTGCTCCTCAAAGATGCTCTATGTAACTTCTAAGATTGGAGAGTTCATTACCTGCTTGTCTCCAGGGAGAGTTAGATGTTATTTCTTCAAATGAAAACCGAGAACGCACATCAGGTTCGTGTAGAAGTGCAAATTCACAGAGGAACAGTGAAATAAAAGTGAAAAAATGCATGTGGCCGATGTCCTAAGCTTTTTGAGGCTACGTTTACAAGATGACAGTCTGAACAGAAGACGCAAAAGTGGCGTAGCATCTTCACTTTTTATTCCGCGTTTAGACGAGTGTTTTCGGGAGGAAATCTGCGTGCATACACATAACTGTTGTCTGTTGGAAAAGCATGAATGAAACCGAGAAAGCACACTTACCAGTCAGTCCAGTGTATTTAGAGAGGATGTGTTTGAAGAGGATGGAGTGGGAGACAGTATCAACCTGAGTCTGCAGCTCTGAGTAGGTTTTTTGTGATCGTGATTAGCAGTGTTTATATAATCCAAATGATTCTAGTGAAGCTTTATGGAGTCTAAAAGGTTCCTGTATTACCACAAGACATCACGAGGTGGAAGAGGGTGTTTTAAACTTGAGAGAACTCAGTCTAATTATGCAGAGTTTGTGTGTTAATCATGTGTGAGTGAATAATAAAAAAAAATACTCCAGGTCTGTAACTCAGAAAATGTCATAATGTGGGCCCTTTAATAATATTAGTCATATGAAGTGACGATGGTGGAGATGCAGGCGCTTTGACCCAGGGTGTGGTGGTGAATCTTACTGGAAGTAGTTGTGGAATTTGGAACAGAGGTTTAGGCTTTAAGCATTGTAAGTGACATAAAAGCGTACTCGACGTGAGCAGATCTGACCAGAGTTTTGTGTCTTGGGCAGTGTAGACTGAAAAGCTACGGCGGAGCGTATTCAACTTTTCCACTCTGGAGGAGGGTGGTTTCAGGTTTTTGCGTCACCGTCTAAACGAAAGGCACTTCTGATAAAATTTGTAGTTTTTACCCTCAAGCGTTCTCACATAAACAGGCCCTAAATAAGGTTTTGGCATTGGAATATGTTTCACAGTAGGGAATTAAACATATCTGCCTTGCATTTATTCACTCACAGATGTTTTGTAACTCAACATTACCTTGGTAAACATGAATTCGTGCTGTGTTCAGGCTTGTTTCTCCATAGATCTGACCATTAACTTCTCCAGCGTCTCCATTTTGACAACCAGGTTTATTTTTATATATAAGACAAAGCAGTTACATCTCCAAGGAGACGTGCAGGTGACTGACTCTACAGCCTGAATGGACAGGAAACGAAAGAATGAATCACCCTCCATTGATCGTTCTGACCGATAATAGCAGTGTCCATGGCTCTGGCTCCCAACAGCTCATTTCTCCGATTGATTTATGGACCTGTTTTGTGTTTTTCAGACGTTTTAAATGATGCGATTTTCGACGAGGACCACAACGAGATGGTGATCGTGAAGGATATAGACATGTTTTCCCTCTGCGAGCATCACCTGGTGCCTTTCTTTGGCAAGGTAAGGGGCCATTTAGTTTATACATAAAATCTGAAATGTTCTGAAATGAATATACTAATGTCACCTGTACTTTTTAAAATATTTCATGTCATAATATTTGCTTATTGCTTAGTGTCAACTCAGAAAAATGTGATTCTGACCCAACTTTGCCTCTGCATCCAAAACATTTGTATTCCTCTTATGTACACTTTCACATTTTATGTTTTTTGCTTTTATTTACATTTTATTAGTTTTATTGTTTTAGGACTCATATGACCAAATTTTGACAATTTACTTTTTTGTGGTCTTCATTTTATAATCTCTATGCAGCACTTTGGAAACTTTATTTGTAGAATGTGCTACAGAAATAAAGTGGATTTGGATTTGGACATAACACATGCTTTAGATGGAAAATATGAAAATGCAAGAGTAAAGATTCACTGTGTATCATTTCTGGTGGGGGTCTGCCATCTGTTTGTATCCATGGAGATTTTATTGCCTCACCTGCTTATCACTGTGGAGACAGATGAGTTTAACAGTCTAGGAAAGTGATAACATCGCCATGGAGATGAACAGGTGACAGACCTCCACCAGACAAGTTGCAAAATACCTTTTTAAAGTCATTGTTTTAGGAAATAATGATGATGTCAAACTGAAGTACCCAATTTCAAGATAATCAAAATCTTAATACATATTATTATTATTTTTTATTTTATTTATTTATTTTTTCCCCCATTTAAGTGCTTCATTTTGCTTTCTTAGTATTAAATTTTGTTCATTGAAAACAACAGCAGTAGTAGTTTTAATGTGACTACTGCCACTAGGTCAGGATTAGGTCAGGAATCAGAATACACTAGACATTTTCCAAGAACGCTGGAAGTTGTAGACCGCGCACCGCCCAATCAGTGGAAATCTGAAGCCATGACGTCAAACTCAAGCGTCTGTCTGGGTCCCTTTTATGGTTCAGCACAACAGTAAACAAAGCAGTCGAGATGGATGTAGACGAATACAAACATTCTGTGTTGGCAACGATTCCTGAGATTGAGGATTTAAAGCTGGAACAAAGAGAATGTTTGGTGAATTTTATCAAATTAAAATTCATTATTGCTCTTCTTCCTACAGGATTTGGCGCATTACATACATCACGACCAAAGAGCAGTGATTGGTTAAATTAAAAAAGTATCCGCCTACTGTCATGCGAACAAATCCTAATGCTGTGAGGTCAGACAGTTTCCATGAAGTGAAACCGGCTGATCAATCAGGCTAGTAGACACTTGACCCAGTTAGTGAATGGTTTAATGTGCTCTTGAAAGTCAATATTAAAGGTTCTGCATTACACAGAATTGACTCTTGTGAGCTCACAGCCATGTTGCAGTGCTGTTACCGCCTCAAAAACTTACCTAGAGTTTTGTTTCATTCACACATGTTTGAGAAACCGTTTTAGTCTGATTAAATCTCCAAAGCTCAAAATGCTCTGTTCCAACTTGTCATGTCATGAAGCTGTAGTTTTCAAGTTTAACTACCTTTTTTCCTGTTTGTTCAGTGGAGATTGGCAATACCAAGGCTTTGTTTATTGTTTGTGATGATGAAACATTATAACATAGACCAGAAAATGGACCCTTTTTTTTTTTTTATTGACAACACAGGTACAAAATAGTGTGTTTCACGTTGTCTAGGCAGGAGTATTGATCTGATCATTGTGCAAGTTTTAACCTGCAGGAGTCAGTGGCCTGTGTTTTTGAATTGAAGGTTGTGTTTGAACAAGGCTCTTCCATATTTACTCATGTTGTCCTTTTCTAGGTCCACATCGGATACATCCCAAACAAAAAAGTAGTGGGACTCAGCAAACTGGCCAGGTAATGTGTATGCACAAACTCACTATCAGTAAATTAATTTTTTATTGATACTTGGGCGTCGTCAACATTCTCTGGGAGATGTAAATGTAAAAATGTAACACCCCTCTGTGACTCAAGTGTGAACCTCTGTTGCTCAAGTTTGACTTTAATCTGACCTTTATTATTTTTACAACAATCAGACCATAAAGAACTGATTTAACTGGAACTACAACAGATCAGTGGTTGTAGTTAAAGGGACATGGCCTCATTTCCTAGTGAGCCAGAGTGTTGGAGACGTGTGGAGACACTTTTTAAAATATTCCATCCAGTCCTTGTATTTGCAGAGGTCGCTGGTGCTAGACTAGTGCATGTCAATGGTCATAGTTATCCTGACACTAAAAACAGTCTTACCCACTCCACAAAACACCCAAAACAAATCTATTATTACACCAGACTGTCAATGTGAATGTCTGTGTTGATAGAATAATTTTAGAAGTAAAACCAACCTTGCATTTGAAGGATTTATGTCTGAGCAGCAGCAGTGAGTTCTACTTCCTGATAGAAAACTTAGCATTGGTGGTCTGATATATGAGAAAATAGTTCCTCAACATACGACGATTCATGCGATGCAAGGTTAGTTTTATTTCAAATATTATTCTATCAACACAGACATTCACATGGACAGTCTGGTGTAATAATAGATTTGCTTCGGGTGTTTTGTGGAGTGGGTAAGACTGTTTTTAGTGGCAGGATAACTATGGCCATTGACATGCACTAGTCTAACACCAGTGACTTCTGCAAATACAAGGACTGGATGGAATATTTAAAAAAGTGTCTCCACACGTCTCCAACACTTTGGCTCACAAGGAAAAGAGGTCCTATGTCCAAAATTTTGAACTGTCCCTTTAAACAAATCCCTCTCACACAAAATTATTCACTAGCATTAGCCTGCAATTTTTCAGTTTTTCACTTGTCACTCTCACCTTTTTGTTGAAATTCAAACTCCTAAACTGGATCATTAACGCTGGTGTTGATCACAACTCCTGAAAATGTGTTGTTTAAATAATTTTGCATTTTTTTCTTGAGGTTTCGAACTAACTTTTGCGTGTGTTTAGTAATACCAGAACACCCCCATTATGATCTCACTGCAAAGTATCAGTCAGTAGGGATGAAACAATATCCAAGTCTCACGATTCAATATCGTCACAGTATGACCCTCACGGTACGATATTTATTGCAATATCATAGGAAAGCTCACATATGGTGGGGAGGAACCATATCTAATCCTACAATAACAACAATAATAGCCTTGACAAGACTTAATCCAAAGAACTAAGACTTAAAAGTGCTTAGAACTGTTATTTCTTCTTGTAGTCTGCACTGAAATGGAGCAAAGGACCATGGTCTATGTAGTTCCCTCTGTCTTTTTAGCTATTGCTGCAACATAACTCTTAATTTAATCAAAGTGACTTGTAATTTGATATATTGTGATGGTCCACTAATTGGAGGCTATGATATTTTGGGTATTGTTGCATCCCTATCAGTCAGGCATATAAAGACTCACTAACTTTTCTGGTGGACCTCCTTGTCTCCATGGAGATGTGTTCCATTGCCTAGAATGCAGAATGGTGTTAGACATGACTACTATCTTAATTATATACACTACTGGTCAAAAGTTTTAGAACAGCCTAATTTTCTCCAGTTATTTATTGTAATTGAAGTCATGAAAGTTCAATGAAGTGCTGGAAATTGTACAAAGTTAAGTACTGAAGACAACAAAACACAAGTCCAAGGTCAGCCAAAACTACCTCAGGAAAAAAGAGCAAGATGGTAAAGCTTGAAAACATGGAGTGTCCAGCACAGTGTCCAGACTTAAACCCTTAAATCGAGCTGGTTTGGGATGAACTGGACAGAAGAGTGAAAACCGAGAAACCTACAAGTGCCACACATTTATGGAAACTTCTGCAACAGATTTGGGAAGAACTTTCTGAAGAATATTTGATTTCTGTTGTAAAAAGAACGAGCCACGGGTGTGTTCAGCTGTTATATCTGCCAAAGGTGGACACTTTCAGGAATCAAAAGTTTAGAATATATTTTGGTCAACAGTAAACGGTAAAAAAATTGAAAAAGTGTGATGTTCTAAAACTTTTGACCAGTAGTGTGCGTATATATGGCATACAGGTATTGAAAAGCATCCATTCTTGCTGTGAGCAGACTCTGTCCTCCATAGATCTGACCTGTAACTTCGCAAGGTGGCACCAACTGCTTATGTCTGTGGAGATGATTTGTTACAGTTAAGCAAATGGCAGAAAAGTTACATAGTCCATCTTTACCATGGATCCCGATCAGGATTACCTGTGTGCGATGGATAATTCAAGTTTAATGCCATGCTGTGGAACATTCAAGGCAAAGCACAAGCAAACATCTCCATGGAAACAAGCAGATGGTGTACCTTTTATCAGAAAATGTTCCATAGTGCACCTTCTTATTGGCAAAAAAAAAAAAATTAAAATCTCTTGACACAAATGGGAGTCTGAGGGCCCTATTCATGGATTTTGGCTTTTTGTTCTAGGCGCCATTTTAAGGACTTTTTATTAGATAGATATAATTTTTTTTTTTTCTGAATGGCATAGGGTCCCACAAAGCTATAAACTGCCCTCTCTCCCCTTTCTCTCAGTGCAGAAAATGCCTGTGTAATTATTAGCGGTCGAGTGCGTTCTTCTGTTATTTCGGTGCATTGACCTGGAGGCTTAGAGTCTGATCCGGCCCAACACAAGTCCAAACTTTATCATGAGAAAATCCTTTTACAGCTGTGGGAATAACCTGCCGCCATCATCACAACGTTTCCTCTTTTCTTTACTAAAATATCAGCTTAAACTCACGGCGCCATACCCACAGAAGTCGATGGGTTTTTAGACAAACTTTGGTATATTTGCCATGTAAACATTACCCTAACCTTGACAAAGCAGGTCAAAGTGAATTATTATTGCATTTGCAGTGGAATTGACCTTTTATTTTATTTACTGTGTCTAGGATTGTGGAGATTTACAGCCGCAGACTTCAAGGTGAGTACATTTCTAAATATAATAAACATTTTTAATTAATAATACTTAAATTGGAGCTAGATTTGAACTAAGATTTGTGTTCAAAATCCACAATTATTCCAAACAGATTTTAAAATTGTGTTCTTTATTTATCTCTAATCCGTGTATCATTCGTTCATTAGTTTTTCAATATAAAATCAAAAATAAAATGAAAAAACAACTGTTTTCTTTATTTGTCTCCAAAACCAAAATGAAAAAATGGATAATGATTAATTTTTTTCAGTTTTCAATTTTGTGTTTAAATGAATAATGGAAGAAACGGATAAGGCTCGTTTCCCGTTTCCGTGACTTAAACTGCCAGACTGAACCAGGACTGATCCAGGGACTGAATCAGGTCCGGGACAAAACTGGGACTGAGACCAGGACTTAGACGGGACCAGACCAGGACTGAGACCGGGGCTGAGACCGGAGCTGAGACCGGAGCTGAGACCGGGACTGAGACCGGGACTGAGACCGGGACTGAGACCGGGACCAGACCAGGACCAGACCATGACTGAGACTGGGACCAGACCAGGACTGACAAGGGTTTAGTTCTTGTTCAGTCCTGGTTCAGTCCTGGTTTAGTCCTGGTTAAGTCCGTATGCAGCGCAAAAGTCCGGCATCACAGTTTAAGTCACGGAAACGGTAAACGGCCATTATCCGTTTTTTTCCATTATTCAATTTAAACACAAAATCGAAAACTGAAAAAACTAATTATTATCAGTTTTTTCATTTTGCTTTTTGGAGACAAATAATGAAGAAAATAGTTAATTATTTTTGGTTTTATATTGAAAAATGAATGAACGAATTACACAAATTCTTTCTAAAACAGAACTCTACTTCCTGTAATTTTCAACACGTTTTTCAACTTTTCTTCCCAAACTGCTTCTTTATTTATGTAAAACTATTATTTATATTTACAACATGTATTATCCCACCAAATTAAGCTGAAAGAGAAATTAAAAAAATCTGTCATATTTCAATGTCCTGGTTTAGACGCAGTGATTCTGTGTGTAAAACCTTTTTGGGGCCAGTTAATATTGCTGTGCCCTGTATATGTGAATTCTGACCTACAATATTTGTGCAAAGTACAGATTTGTACAGTTAAAATGACCTTTTCCAAAACAAATATTTACGCTTGAACAATATCCACAATATTATCTCTGAAACCAACTTGCTGAAACTACAGAAAGATGGACTGGACAACGATCACGAGGACCATACAGATTTGGGTCATTGCACTGATGCGAGTGATGGAGTGATGTTTACAAAATTTCACGAAAGTATCTCTCTAAATGTGAATGGTCCTTTAAAATTCAACACAAGTGCAGAAATGTCACTTTATATCCAGGTTTGGCAGATTGCACTAATGTTTTTTTTTTTTTTTTATGTTTAAAGGGCTCATATTATCGTGTTTTCTGATCGGTTTCCTCATCACAAACAAACCTGGAGTTGTGTTTTGTCTCATTTACATGTTTAACACACAAACATTGCACATTTAGGCTGAGTTCCACCCTCATACAGGAAGTGCTCCACTGTTTTTAAACTCCATACACCTTCACTAGAATCATTTGGCTCATTTCAGACCTGGAATTGTGGTAAAAGGTAGCTTCATGACATCATAAGGTGGAAGAGAGCGTTTTGAGCGTTGGAGATGTAGACAGTCTAATAATAAACGTGTGTGAATGAAACAAAACACAGCTCCAGGTATGTTTTGATGCGTTAACAGCATTGTAATATGATTTTAAGATTATAAGAGTCAATTTTGCATAATATGGGCTCTTTTAATTGTTTTAGCCGGAGAATATGCAAAATTGGAATATTGAGTGATTTCAGAAAATTGCAGTGTCCTTTTATTTTCTGAATCTCCATCCACATATGATGAGCTATAACTTTTTTTAAAATATTTTTTTTCTGATTTTGTTTAGTTCAAGAGCGTCTGACCAAGCAGATTGCGATGGGGATTTCAGAGGCTCTGCAGCCGCTGGGAGTGGCTGTGGTCATCGAGGCAGCGTGAGTACAAACACATTTAACTTTACACGGCTGCTCTTGTACAGTTGCCCTGGGGCAGAATGACTAAAGTACGACTGCCAGTCTGTTCTGCAACTTCAGCAACCACCAATTAGTCACTCACACATCACACGCTGAAGTGTCCTAGCCCAAGAGCACGATCGCAGTAAGCAGTTGTTGGGATTGAAATTTAATTTCTATCAATCCGAAGGGTGACTTGAGCACATAGAGCAGTAAAATACAATAATAGAAAGCCCAAACAAAAGTGCAACATGTAATCAGGTCCAGTGTCAGAGCAGTTTGAGGAGAGTAAAAGCCCTCAGGACAAAAGCATCCCTCAAAATCACAGCAGCCTCCAGGGGGCGCCAGGTGAGCTTAATAGGCACAACAGGAAAGCCTTTAAGACGCTGTTGTTTCAATCAGTGATGAGACAGGCCAAGTGTTTCCTCTGGAACATCTTCTGCCATATTTGGTGGAGAAAGCCTGTTGTATTAAAAGTTGCCGTGGATACAGGAAAAACAAACTGCTCAAATCACACAATCCGATAACTGCTGTCCTTTGAACTGTACAAGCTGCACTTCTTAGAAATACTAAGAAATAACTATTTTAAAACTGTTCAGTGTGCCAGCCAGTCCAACCTCCAGAGCAGCCGGTAATTGTCTTTTTTAGCCATTGCATTAGTTTGGGTTTGATGGTGTTTAATCCACAACGAAAACTAATATAATGGCTATGCAGTGAGTAAGTGCACTGTCCTCACCGCAAGAAGGTCCAGGGTTTGACTCCCAGGCGACATGGGGCACTTTTAAGCAGTTTGCAGTGGTCCAAAGTTATTCTTCACTTTCCTTATGAACATCCTAAATACTCAGTGACTGCAAAAAGCTTGTAAACCAACTGAGAAACCAAAGCTGAGTTTTGTGATCGTAAAGCAAACCGGCATGCTAACACACACTTCCTGATTATCAGCCAGTTAAATAATTTCTAATTGGAGGAGAACATATTTTGGCCTCAACAGCGGCTTATACATCTGTACTGGGGCAAGACACATTTTTGCAGCATTCAGTCCGTTCGTAGTGTTTGTCCACTTATCTGAAGGTTGGTGGTTTGAATTCCGCTGTCAACAAAAACAATATTGGTAGTGTCATTGCTGTCATTGTGTCCTTAGGCAAGACATTTAACCCACCTCGCCCCTTGTGTCTGTGTACACTGGTGTGTGAAAAGCGCTGTATAAAAATGTAACCGTTTACTGTGCATTGGGAAAACAAACGGGCACAGTAGCTTTTTTAACGTAGTAAAGTAATCATTCTTGTCGTCTGCAGGCACATGTGCATGGTGATGCGCGGGGTGCAGAAGATAAACAGCCGTACGGTGACCAGCACCATGTTGGGGGTGTACCTGGAGGACCCCAAGACGAGGGAGGAGTTCCTGACCCTGACAAACAAATCCTAAACTCCGTCACAGCGTCCACTCCTCCTCCGCCTCTGAAGAATACTGCTCTGTGAGGATCCTGCTGAACCACTATTGTTTAAAGTCATGGTTTGGGTTTCTGAATAGGAAATCATTTTTGGCTTTAATAACAAAACTTTATATTTTCCTATACTCTATACTCTAGAATCTCATTAATAGTAGTATTCAAAACATACATCCATTTTACTTGACAGCAATTACAATTTTTATTTGACTGCCTATAACATTTACAAACCTACTAATGAACCCAAACTATCACTTTTACACGAGCTAATTGCGTAACAAAAACTCAGTGTTTACTTTTTTAATCCTTTCTTGACACTAACTGTTGTCTAATTGTTACGAAAATTTGCTCCAAATGTAGGATCCAACAATTTCTCTACTACCATCAGACAGACTCCTTACCATTTTAGGATTTTGAGCCATGTGTGAGGATGTGTTTTTCACTGTGAATGAAATTTGGTGCCTTGAATTATTAAGATTGTACGGCCTTAAAACAGTCTTACCTTTTTTCAGTGCAATTTTTGTTTTTGTTTTGATGTTCACATCTTCATTGTTTCCTTGTTACCACGGGGAATCCTCTGGTGCTGTTACAAAGGTTTTTAATGTTTTATCTTTTCACAAAACTGTATTTAAGCATACAAATGTTTTTATGGTCCTTGTAACATACTGTACGACATTTTTAAGTGTAAACTGTAAAGATTATTTCTGAAATAATGCAAAGATATGTAGCCTGTAGCAGTGATCTCTGTAGCATGTAATTTAGAGTTTCATTGAATTAAATTAGATTAAGATAAAAGCTGTTAAGTTTGGGTTATTTTATTTGTGGTTACTCAAGCCTATTCCAGCTCTACGTAGATTTCTGAATGATGAGAAATTAACGGTTGCCATAGCGATTGACAATTTAGAGATGTCCGTTGAATTGCAAAAAGCCCTCAAAATGTTACATCTAACAAGAAACCTGAAACTCAATGATTGTTGCAAATTCTTCATTACACTCTAACAATTTCATGGACTGACTTTTTAAAACTATAAATATTAGACGATACAAATTTTACTTTTAAAAAAATATATATACTTTTTATTTACTGAGGTTTTCAAGTTTCATGCAGTAAAAAAAGCCCCAAAAAAACAAGTTTAACCAATACAAAACTTGGGGCACAATTCTACTGCAATAAGGATGCGGAGGAGCAGATTTGTTTGACTTTTTGTTTATATTCTGACCATTTTGTCCAGCGTTTAATGAAGGAATGTCTTTTGAGTAGTCAATTATTACATTTAATACATTTCCTTATTTTTTTAGCCACTGATTCACTGAAGGTAGGCCCTTTTTAAGCCAGCTTCTTATTACTTTAGAATTTAAATCCTTCATCTTCATTTGGTCAGTTTTGGTAAAGTTACGGGCTTGTATATGTAGTATATTAACACTACATTTACTACCGAGTGGGTCAAACATTTTAACACAAACATGTAGCACTGTTACTTCAAAATGATGTACAATAACATGTAGAACTTAAATTATATTAGACTACTCAGTATTATAAAGTCAATATATCATTTTATAAAACTACAAAAAATGAAACAACCAGATTAAGGTGCTTTACATTTTGCATTTGAATTGAAATTTTTGCTTTTGCTTTTAAATTGTCAGTCTTTTTAACTTTAGATTCACAATTATTGACACAAAGTTGAAACAGATGTTAGATAAAGTTTTCTCAGAGCAAATACACCCATGTCCACATTCTCTGCTCTTATATAATGTGCAGCAGTGAGTGAACCCGTAACAGGTCAGGGCCTATAGGTGACTGAAGGTACAGTGTATTTTGGGCTCTTCAAAGTCAATCCTAGAAAACATAGTCCATAGAGACAGGATATTATAAACACTTACAATTATAAATATATAAAAAATTATCACTATTAAGACTGATGTTACTACTGTTTAATTCTCTCCAATGTATAAATACACTTAAGTTGTACATTGTGTGTGATTAAATAACAAAATTATTATTTGCACTTGTCAACTTGAAACTGAAAATTATCGAGTGAAATTATGTACATTTTTACAGTAACGATTGCAACTCTGACTAAATAAAGTAAATTATATATGCACATATAAATTAATAATTAATAATGAGGATCAATAATACTGAGAAGAAAAAAATAAACAAAAAATAAACATTTAAATTAAAAAAGATAACATTTTCATCTATTTTAACACTTAAAGGTGCAATATGTAACTTTTTGGTTGGTCACCTGCTTTGTTTTTAATTTACTCTATCTGGAATGTTCCACAGTGTGACATCAAACAGCTCGATACTTACATTTATTAAATTACAGGTGGTTTTATAGCTCAAAAATACCTAGAAATACTGACTTGCTTCGGTTTGACTCCATAAAGATTAAAAGTTTAATACCAATACTGCGAAACATTCCAGATGAAGCAAAAGCATCTCCATGGAGACAAGCATCTGACGGACCCTCAACCAGAAAAATTACAAAATGAACCTTTAAAATCTCTAATATTGTTTTCAAATATTTTAGAGTAATGGCATTTTTCTTTCAAGTGATAAATATTTCTGTATTTCTTCCAAACATTTGTAGAAAGAATCAGAATTTGAACATGCAGAATTAAAACCGAATCTGTGTTCATTCATAAAACCAAACCAGAGGGGGAAAAATGGTAGTGTGCAATCTTTTTCACGCTAAATAAAACTTTAATCACTGTTTCAGCTAAAATATTTCACAATGAACTGTGTGTGTGAGCCTAATTGAGAAAGAGATTACCCAACATGCCTCTGTGCTTTCCATGCTGTAAATAAGTAGCTTACATCACCACCTGCACTGGCTCTTGACGTTTTAAATCAATAATAAAAACCAGTGTGTTGTGCATGTGCAGCTTGAGCCCTGAGGCCGTACACGCCCTTTTAAATTTCAAATACCATGAACTTTTACCTCTATCTCTAACAGTAAGGCGACCATGACTGCGCGCAATATCCAAACACGATTATATCAGTGCTAAACCTATTACAAGCGGAGAGGGCGATTGGCGAATGACGATTGTTTTGACGTAAGCGGCTACGATTAGATAGAAACCACTCGAGGTTCTTGTCATAATGGTTTATTCACTCAAAATTCTAACTATTTTACAAACTGAGAACAATTTAAAAGCAAATAAAAAGGTCTTTACAAGGTTCAGAAATGCAAAATGTACACATTATATTGACGGGTTTGGCCTCAGAGATGTGAAAATAACCAGAAGACAACAGCACACTGCAAAAAATAAAATTACAGTCTTCATTGGATAAAATATAACTTAAATTTTGAATATGCATCTAAATTTGAAGGTTTGCAGCTTTTATTTAATGACTTCATGGATCTAGATGACACGACTTGTATCAAATTATTTCCATATCTTTGCTTTTTATTTTAAGCCATTTTATGTGTTTATCATTATTATTATTTGTGCAGAAATTTGCACCGACGCCACTGCCAGATGTATTGTCTTATTCATTTCAAGCTAAATTATCTTGAAACCAGTCTAAAATGGTGAAACAAGACAAATAATCTAGGCCACATCAGCAATTAAATCAAACCAAGACAAAAATACTCAAATCTTGATGAATGTTAAGGTTAATTTAAACCATACTCGATCTTACTTTTTGACTGTACATTGCTTATGGAGCTGCAGGACAATACAGTGGTGTACAAGATACTTCACATAAAAGAGACAATAAGGAAAAAATATACAACAAAAGCAATATTGTGAGAGTGGATATAGGAAAAATTCAGACTCTGCACAGGTTTGCCCCCCACTCATAGACTGGACTGATTTCAGTTCAAGCAGATTTCCTCCTCACACGGATGTTTGTTTGTAGTTCTTGGTGTCCAAAACTTTCTTGCCGCACATTGCACAAATTCCTGAAATGAAATGAAGAGGATCAAAATTTCTGAAAAATAATTCCTGCATTCCAGAAAGTGCCATTTTAGCCCATAAAGCACATTCTGAGTTTAAGATAATCACTTTTAAACGACTTAAACTAAGGAAACTAGGAAACTTTCTGGGGATGAGTCTGGGATTGTATTAAACCTCACTGACTTATATCTATTGAATTACAGATATTTTATTACAACAAAATAATGTAATAAAATTAAAATAAATGAAAAACTTGGTCTGGTGATTATGTCACCTGCTTGTCTCCAATGTGACAGACACACATTATATTAATAGTGTGGAATCTTTTAGGCATAGCAGTAGGGTTTCCATGGAGACAAGCTGGTGGCAGACCCTCAACCAGAAAAGCTGCTTAGTGCAGCTTTAATGTACTTTTATACCTCTATTTAATCTTCAAATTGCCCCGTATGATTAGTTTTATGTGTCTATTTTAACACATTTAGACAGGTAATCAGAAGAAAAAAGTGATTTAGGTGTTTAGTGGCCCTTTAAATGGGCCTACTATGTTATATTTATATTGTGCTCTGTTACTTACGGCCGCAATACAAGAATTTCTTAAGTATTGCTTATGAATATTAGCAGTAGTAACATCATTATTACCTTTCTTGTAAGCGCAGCCCTGACAGTAGTGTGATCCAGACTGATGGACGGAGCTCTTACAGATCCGGCAGATGGCGAAGCCTGACTTACTGTACGGGTCAAATCTAAAACACAAGACACACAAACAGAGATCAGGTCAGGAAATAACTCACAAATAAATTCAACTTTGTGTGATATAATTTATAACTACTCACCTGGCTTTCTTTGAAGTCAGAAGTTTGTTTTCATTAAGTTTTCGACCACCACTTTCTGATAAAAAGAAAGAAAACAATGAAGAAATTGAGAACATATATACATGAACATTACATAACATATACATTACTACAGAATCCGTTAGGAGGTGATTGAACCCTTAAGAGCATTTTACAAGGAGTAAATCAATTAAAATGTACAATAACTACTAAGATTATAAAAAAAAAAAAACACTTGAGAAAACAATCAATGACAAACAGTTAATGAAAGTTTTTTTTTTTTTAAAGAGGTGGGTTTTCTAGGGCTTTTTTAAACATGACGACTGTGGGTGAGTCTCTGATGTGTTTGGGCAGGGAGCTCCAGAGGGTGGGGGCAGCAGCGGAGAAAGCCCGGTCACCTCAGGTCTTATGTTTAGTCCTGGTTGGGGGGAGACAGGAGGTTGGCGTCAGCTGATCGGAGGGCATGGGTGGGGGTGTGGTAGTGGAGAAGTAACATTACTAAATGCACTTTACAACATAAATTATTATTATTATTATAAATGTTGTGAGCTGTTTGAATTAGAGTAGCCATAAACGAAAACAAAAAATCCTTACATTTTTCATTCTCATTACTGTTTATTTTATACGATCATAAACGATAAACTTTGTGCCTACATTAACATTATTATTAATTTGTACGACCATAAAGGAAAATATGTTTCTGCATGTATGTATATGTGTGTTATGCATGTGTATAAACATTTATATTGAGTAAATGTACTGGATATCTATAATGCATGTATGTATGTATGTATATTTGTACATATGTGTGTACATGTGTGTACATGTGTGTGTACATGCATATGTATGTTTGTATGTGTGGATATGTTTTTGTATATATGTGGGTATATTTTTGCAATTGACAGGTAAGCACTCCAAAGGTGATATTTTAAAAAAGTGAACCACATGATTATGTAAAACAACTGGGGTAGGACTCCCTAAGTTTTTTAAACTTCATCCTACTCCTTTTGAGCACCAGGTCCCAAATATGCTCATGTACATATCACTATTTTTTTTTATTGTTTTCGAATTTTGTTGTACCTGGCTCAAACAAATAAAATAAATGAATGAAAAAAAACCAACAACAGTGACCAGACGTCCTTATTTACCCAGAACAGTCCCAGTTTTGAGCCCGGTGTCCCCTGTCGCAGCAGATTTATCCAAACACACTGATTTGTCAAAGTTTTATACAAGAAACCTCTGAGTTGTCCCCATTTCTGACCAATTTAACCCCCACCAACAATAAAGAGGGGAATTTATTGTCATTTGTTTAGCTAAAATATAGAAACCATGCTTCAAAGTTAACATAAAACAAAACAAAAAAAGCAACAACAGACCCTCAGATTATAAATGAACAATGTTATGTGCTCTTTTTACAAATTTACAGCTTGTTTCCAACACTCTCAAAATGCTGACGTTGTTCTTGTCTCACCTGTTGTATTCCGGGCTCCATCTTTCCACGTATCTGGAGTAATTACTTTTCCCAGCTTCTTCTCACCTAAAACCAGACAAAATAAATGTCAATGTAATAAACAAAAGCAGAGTTTGTGTTACAAGGCAAAGGTAAAAAGCTAGCCAGTTAGCATTAGCCAAACTGCGTAGCTTCTTTAAACATTGCCCGCTGTAGATTGTCCAAAACAACAAAATACAAGTAAATCAATGTAAATATATTGTTAGTTGTGATACGTACATTTCTCGCAAACCATCTTCACGTCTCTTCAAATTACAAAGAAAGAACAAGCAAAAGAGGACGAAAACTAGCTTGGACTGTAATATGTAAACTTCCGGTATACTTTGTGTCACCTTGTTGACGCGTCACGTACATTTTCAACTGCTATTGGATAAAATAACTGTCAATCAAAAGAACTGTCTTGTGATTGGATAATGGGTTTTAGTGAAGGTGAAGAATGTAAACAAAAGCCATTCCGCTTATAGTTTCTTTTAAAATGATCCAAACAAGTACAATCCGACGCTCTAGTCGCATATTTTATAGATAAAGAAATTAACTGTTGAGAGGAAGAACATAAGTTTGAGATTTTAAATAAAAGACAATAATAATAAAAGACATTCCGTTTAATTAGTAAAATGTCATTGCAACAAGTTAAATACATCGACTACATAATATATAACTTAACTACATAACTACATAATACATTGAATACAGCTTTGGTAACTAATTAACATATTATAAATATTATTTTTTTTATTATTATTTTACTATTATTATTTTATTATTAAGTTGATACAATATTGATTTATTAGTAATTTGCTATATAGATGGAAAATATAAAGAGGTAAAGAGGTATCTGGGGGACCAAAAAAAAAAAAAAAAAAAAAAAAAAAAAGGACAGAATATTTTATTGTGAAAATTTGACCGGAAATGAGTGTATCGTCGTGTTTACGGAAATTGAAAGGCTTATCAATGGACGAATCGTGACAAATGGACCTTCCCTCTTCGAATTAAAATTTAGTTTCAGGGCATTTTTGGGCCAATTTATCAGTATACGTTTGTAGATAGAAACCGTCGCCATCATGTGGGACCATGAGATCCGCGCCATGGGGTCGTGCCACGCCATCCTCGCCGCCTCGGTCCTCCTGGCCACGGTGCTGCCCGCGGTTCTCGTCCCGGGGTTCTCGGTGTACGGGACTCACCTGGTCTGGATCTACTCCGTGTCCGCAGCGGTCACCGGGGTCAGCGCCGCCGTATTCTGGCTCCTCGGGGTCACACCTCCAGCCAAGAAGCACACGGTCGGATACAAGGTGAACACACTGGATTTCAGTTCAGTATTGGTGTTTTTTATTTAGGCTAGTTGTATTTTTGTATACCGTCAAATAGTAGTTGTAGTTGTCGTTGTATTAGGACTAGTAGTAGTAGTAGTCGTAGTTGTTGTTGTTGTATTAGGAGTAGTAATAGTAGTAGTAGTTGTATTGGGAATTGGGAACTTTTGTCTGGAATGTTTCACAGTATGGCATTAAACCTTTCTATTTCATGGAGATCAAACCAGGCCAAGTTATGGGTTAGATCTATGGAGAGGCAACCCTGCTCACAGTCAGAATGTCTGTCTTTCAAGGTATTTTTGAGTAATAAAACCATCTGTAACTGAATAAATGTAAGGTAGAGCTGTTTAATGTCACACTGTGGAACATTCCAGGCAGAGCAATGACATCCATAGAAACAAGCAGGTGGCAGACCCTCCACCAAAAAGTTACACAGTGGACCTTTAAGATATGTTTGAGAACTTGTACGGTATAGTCACATGTTATAAGTTTATTAATAAAGTTTCTCTCCTTTTTTCAGCTGTCCCGGTTGTTTCGCTCGTGTCTCTACTTCTTCCTTTCGTGCCTCTTCTTCCACACTGTGCTGGTTCTCTATGGAGCGCCCCTGATTGAGTGAGTACCATCTAGTTTTATTGCCTTAAAACATCCAAATAGTTATTAGTTTAACTTAATCAAAACTGTATCTTTTCTTCCAGTTCTGCATTAGAAACCTTCTCCCTCTCTGTGTTGCTGACGTCTCTGACCACTCTGAGATGCCTCTGTGTTCTTGGTCCAAATATTCAGGCCTGGATAAGAGTCTTCAGTCGACATGGGTAATTATCTCTCTGAAATGTGTTAAATTTAATATCCTCTCTCTTTCCTCACTCCAATAATGGACACTGTATGGTATTTTTGTGTAGAGTTTGGTATCCCCCATATCCTCTTTCAATCTATGAACAAAATACTCACAGTAACTCATTGCTACAAAATAGAAAAAATAAAAACTGATTAATAAAATGAGTTGTGGCATATTATGTACAAATATGCAAACTTTATATCTGTAAGAGCAAGTGTAAAAATGTACAATAATGAAATGAAACAAATGAATGAATGAGTCAAATGCAAAGAAAAAATGTATACAGTGTGTACAACTACATGGCCAGACAAAATCAGATAACTAGAATAATCACATAACCCGATAATTAGATCAGAAAAGGAAAATCAAAAACCCCTGGTGACATGTATCAGTTACTCTATGAATTAATGGAGAGACTGTTGTATTTAGAAGACAAAGTACAATGAATAAAAAAATAAATAAAAAATTCAGTTTAGTTTCATTGAGCAGTTACCCATCCATCCATTCATTTTCTTCCGCTTATCCGGGGCCGGCCGGTTTTTGCAAAACCTCGGCACGTCAAAAAGAAATCCCTAAACATACCCAGTGTCTTTACCCCCTCCTCTCATTCTCTTCTCTTTTTTTTAGGGCTATGTCAGTTTGGGACACCTGTCTGCAGATCACTGTGGCCTGCACGTTGGTGGGAGCCTGGTTTGGAGCATTTCCAATTCCACTGGACTGGGACAGGCCTTGGCAGGTGAGACCACATCAATAAAAAACAAACAAACAATGGTACAAAACTTCACAAATGTACACATATTCTAACGCTACTGAATACATGCATGGACAACAAATAGTGAACTGTAGGATATTTATCAGATCTTCTCACATTACATTTTTATTGAGTTGATTTGTGATTACATTTGTCTTTTTTTGCTAAAAATTTAAATTGACATCCATAAATCAGTTTAAATATGATGGATGGCAGCAGCTTAGGAGACAGGTGAGGAAAAGAAAGACAGAATTTAAAGTGGAACTAAACACTAAATCAACTTTTTTCAGCTAAACTGTGCAATATGGTGCTTTAATATTATTTCCTACTGTTCCAAGTCCTTTTTTGGCTTTTTTGGAGGGGGGGCAATTGCAGATTTGTGGTGTGAGTGTGCTGCCTCCAGTAGCCACTGTGTTTTCAACTACTAATAAATAATAATAAATAACAATGTAAACTCAATATGTTGCAGCAGCTATGGATGCATTGCTTGCTCAACACAACTTCATTTCCTCATTTATAATTTAACTTTTATAATTAACTTCACTGGATGTGAAAATTTGCCTGGCCTTTTATAGCTAAATATGTTTTTTATTATTCAGTTCACTAAGTATTGGCCAAAACTGTAATTATAATTTCAAAGCTGGAAACAATGGGTAAATGGTTGTAATGAAGTCGTTCATCAAAATCAAAATCTCAAACTGAAGTACAGGTTTCTATTGCAATATTTTTATTTTGTGTATATATATATATATACTAGTAGCCACTATTACTCCTAATTAAGTAGGCAAGGCAAGGCAAGGCAAGTTTATTTGTATAGCACAATTCGTACACAAAGTAATTCAAAGTGCTTTACAGAATAAGAAATACATTAAAATCATAATAAAAACAAATCAAAACATAAATAATCGTGAAGATTAAAATAAAAAAAGAGAGACATAAATTGGAGAGAAGAGTGCGGAATGAAAACCTTTCAGTTATATGCACAGTTAAACAGAAATGTTTTGAGCCTGGATTTAAACAGCGTCACAGAAGAGTCTGTCTCACATGTTCAGGAAGACTGTTCCAGGTTTTAGCTGCATGAACCTGAAACGCTGACTCCCCTTGTTTAGTCCTGACTCTGGGCACCAGCAGGAGGCCGGTCCTTGAGGTCCTCAGAGTGCGAGATGGTTCATATGACACTAACATGTCACAGATGTACTTTGGTGCTCGGCCATGGAGAGACTTGTACTCAAGCAGAGCTGCTTTAAAGTTTATTCTCTGAGGCACAGGAAGCCAGTGCAGAGACCTGAGCGCAGGACTTATGTGCTCGTACTTCCTAGTTCGAGTAAGGACCCGAGCTGCAGCGTTCTGGATGTTCTGCAGCGTCTCACAGCTCGTTTGGAGAGACCAGTGAGCAGAACATTACAGTATCTAACCTACTGGAGACAAACGCATGGATACGTTTCTCCAAGTCTGTTTAGACAGTAAACCTTTGATTTTTGCTATGTTTTTTAGATGGTAAAAGGCTGCGGATGTTATTGATTTGATGTGGCTGTTAAAGTTCAAGTCTGAGTCCATTATTACCCCTAGATTTCTTGCCTGATTTGAAGGTTTTAGAGAGAGAGACTGGAGGTGACTGCTGACACTGTCCCTTTGTTTCTGTGGACCAAACACTATGACTTCAGTCTTGTCAGAGTTTAGCTGGAGAAAGTTGTTTTGCATCCACACACTGATCTGTTGGATGCAGTGACCAAGTGAGTCCACTGGTCCATAGTCTCCTGCTGCCAGAGAGACGTAGATCTGAGTGTCATCTGCATAATTGTGGTAGGACACATTATTGCTGCTTATTAACTGGCCTAATGGCAGCATGTAGAGATTGAACAACAGGGGGCCCAGGATTGTACTTATATATCTGTAGATTTGACCTGGTTGTGTTCTAGACAAGTCCAGGTTTAATCATTTAATTTGTCAGTGTTCGGTTTTAGTCCTGGATTTAGTCCTTTGGGTCTGGCTTTCGTTATTTTCTTTGAGACTTTTAAATTTAGAAGATTTTTCCTCTATTTGTGAGGATGCTATTTTACAAAGCATTTTTTAAAATAAACTTGATTGGTGCGAAATTAAAGTTGCCCTTTGTAACTTTTCTGGGGGAGAGCCTACCACCTTAACCAGGCTGGTGCCACCTAGGACCTCCGCTCAATTTCATTTCTCTCCAGCGGCTAGGTCAGAAATCAGAATACAATAGACGGTTTGCAAGAACCTTGGAAGTTTGTAGACCACGCACCGGCCAATCAGTGAAGATCTGTGAAGCCATGACATTAAACCATGGATCTATTAAAATAACTGGATACAGTATTGCTAGCTTGTAGCTGCCTCGAGTTGACGTAGTGGCCACTCAGTGGTATTACAGTCGAAAAAATCCCATGGGCCGAAAGATTTTTCTCATAGAGCGCAATGTAATCACAAACTGCTCGTGTTCGGCTGACAGGGCTTTCAAAAATGTTGGATTTTGTGGCGATTTTTACCTATTTTTAGATCATGCACTTTTTCTCAGCTCAAAATCCTTCAGTTGTCTTAACAAACGCTGTTATAATCATTAGCTTCGGCTACGCAGTAGTCAAGTGTCTGTCTGGGTCCCTTTTGTGGTAAAACACAACAGTAAACAAAGCGGTCAAGATGGATGTAGACAAAGACAGACATTCTGTGTTGGCAACAATTCCCAAGATCAAGGATTTAAGGCCAGAAAAAGAGAATGTTTGGTGAATTTTATCAAGGGGAAAGAGGTTATTGTCCTTCTTCCTACGGGATTTGGCGCAGTACATACGTCACAACCAAATAGCAGCGATTAAATTGAAAAAGTACTCGCCTACTGTCAAGCGAACAAATCCTAATGCTGCGAGGTCAGATGGTTTCCACAAAGTGAAACTGGCTGATGAATCAGGCTACGACCACCTGCTTGCCTTCACGAAAATGTTATTGCTTTGACTTGAATGTCCCACAGTATGGCATTTATCTTCTCTATCTCCATGGAGACAAGCTACAGATTATAGGTCAGATTTGTGGAGAGGCAAAGCTACTGACAATAAATAAATATACTTTTTTTTTAAAAATAACGTATTATATAAGGTATGTTCTTAACAATAAAACAGATGTAAGTGAATAAATACATAGGCCTACATACCCCTAGCTGAAAAGTTACATAGTGAACCTTTAACTTGCATAATTCCACACCAAATCTCTGAATGCCCCCACTCCACCATCTCAGATTTGACTGAAGAAATTCTAGGAGGTTCACACACTTCCTAATAGGAAGAGTCCCAAATTTTAGCTCCCAACTCCTTATAGTTTTGTCATTAAAAAATATTTTGTCAAGTCCGCCCTGACATGTTTTGAGCAGAGTTTTCCGAGGAGCCACTTTTAGATTGCTGTATCTAAAAAACTATTTAAGGTTGGTCCTCCAAATTTTCAAGGGTTAAAACTTGGCACATGTATTTGTAGAATCTAGACTTTTATACATGTGCTTTTGGTTTATCATAGATTTTGGGGGGCTTGAATTTGCTTGAAAATTCTACTAAATATGAGGGCATCTTTGAAGGACCCAGAAATCTAAATAAACAAAATAAACCAAAAGCACATGTGTAAAAGGTCATATTCTACAAAACTACAAGGAGTTGGGAGCTAAAATTTGGACTTACTGGAAAGTGTGTGAACCTCCTAGAATTTTTTCAGGCAAATCTGAGATGGTGCAGCGAAGATTTGGCGTGGAATGACCCATAAAAATAAACAATAAATACATTTTCCTCTTTGTAGGTTTGGCCTGTGTCCTGCAGCTTTGGCGCCACCTTTGGTTTTCTGACGGGACTGTTCGCTGCCCCCACCTGGATCCACTACCATCGAAAGCAGCTCACTTACAAATGCAAGTGACGCAAAGAGTTTTAGACATTTTCTAAGTTTTGTTCATTTTTACTAATTATTTATTGGGACACTGATGACTGATTGCTTCTGCTGGGAAAGGGAAATACTGGGTTATTTTGTATTGGGATCAAATATTGTAGGACTAAATCTGTTGTTGAAAATATTCTGTAAATTTTAATAAAATGCTTCTTTTGTTAATCTTGTGTTCGCCTTTTTTTTTTAGCACGTCATATATTCAGAATTTCAGTGCTCTTCATCTTTATTGACCAGATACTACTTCCCTTTTTAGCCTCAAGGTGGTGCAATTGTATCATGATACATATAATACCTTGTAAGCTTTTTAAAATCCTTCATCTCATGTTAAAATCCAGTTGCATCAGATATTTTTTTCTCTTGTTCTCTTGACATTTTTAAAAAACTCTAATCAGCTATTTTAAAAAGTTACTAGATTAAATTTTGGAAGGAAAATGTGAAAATGTTACTTTTATTCTAATCATGTTTATTTATTTTACAAATACTAGCTCTAATTGTAGCAATAGCAGCAATTTTCATCAAAAGCAAATTGGAGAAATATAAACAAAGTGCAAATTTTGTGCATAGTTTAGTTTAGTAGCAGTTGTAGAAACAGCCCTGACAGAAACAGACAGTCTGTGTACCATTCGTTCTTATGAATTTCAAGTAAGAACAAAAGAATAAATAAAATCGGAAAACAGTTTATTTTATTATTCCGTTTTAGTGTCAAACCGAAAAAAAAAAAAAAAAATTCAACCTCTATTTTTAATATTTGATTTAAAGTTTATTTCAAATAACACCAATCAAAAAACAGTCTCGGTGGCTATTTTAATTTCAATATTTTATTCTCTTCTAGGAGCAGCAGAACTTCCAGGGCAGATAAACCAGAGAGAATAAAATATCAAAATTAAAATAGGCACAGAGACTGTTTTTTGATTGTTCTTATTTGAAGTAAACTTTAAATTAAATATTTTAAATAGAGGTTCAAATCATTTTTCTTTTTCCTGTTGTTTTTTTTTTGTTTTGTTTTTCGTTCTTAATTGAAATTTAAAAAAAAAAAAAAAAAAAAAAGGTACACATATCCTTATCAGACCCTTATTGTACCTCTATTATTATTTTTAATTTAATTTAATTTAATTTACTTGTTTTTTACACTAAAGCAGAATAATGAAATAAACTGTTTTCCCATTTTACTGTTTTTCGTTCTTAATTGCAAAATGGAACAAATGGCACCGGGAGCGGCAACCAGTAGCAGTATTCCCTCTTCTTTTGTACTTCTAATTCTTTATTATTCTTTTTTATTTTTATTTTTTGTGTGTAACTTTTATGGTAGAGAGTCTATCAAATGCTTTTTTTCCATGGAAAAGCTGTGGAACTAAATGTTTTTATCTTCATGGAGACCAAACTAGACCAAACTGCAGCTCAGATCTGTGGAGAGGCGACCCCACTCACAGGCAGAATATTTGTTTTTACACATTTTTGAGCTATAAAACCACCTGCAATTGAATAAATGTGAGGAAGAACTACCAGGCAGAGCAATGACATATCTATAGAAACAATCAGGTGATTACTTTACTACACATTATGTTGAAGTAACTCTTTTCTCTCTGCTTTCAAATGACACACACACAGAATTCTTAGCCTATATTTTACTTAATTTACATTAGTTTGACTTCAGCCGTGTGCTCGGTTTGAATATCCATTAGTCCCTATAGGCTAACAGTTTGCCCAAGTCTCCCGCAGTTTCACTTCCTGGAGCAGTGAGCATTGATTTAGTTCTGGAACATTAATTTGGTTTCTTTTTATACAGCTCATGTCTCCAGCTTTCCCATTAAAGCCACAGGGACCTACACATGGAAATACAAAGAGTTTAAAGGTTTTATATTATGCAAAACTGACTCTTGTGAGCTTTAAGACATGTTATAATGTTGTTACCTCCTCAAAAACATGCTGGAGTTGTGTTTCATTCATTCACACATTCAAGTTAAGAGCTACCATTTATCTTTTGTTCAGTACAGATTGACAGTTCCAGGTGTGAAATCGTCCAAAGGATTCTAGTGAAGGTGTGCGAAGTTTAAATACACAATGGAGCACTTCCTGTATTGCCACGTGGATTACATCACAAGGTGGAACAGAGTGTTTTCAGTTTGAGAAAAGAACTCAGCCTAAACATGCAGGATTTTTGTGTTAAACGTGAATGAAACAATACACGAAACCCCAGGTTTGTGTAACATGGGCCCTTTATTCAATAAATATATTTTGGTGTTTTGGCATGGCACAAATAAATTGTAATCTATTTGTCGATTTTAGTACCGTCTTGGAAAATAGTGTTTTATTGTGATTTTTAAATAAGAACGATGAATGAATTAATTATGGCACAAAACCTTTCTGCACTGGAGCACTGTAACACTTTATTTGTTATTGTGTTTTTATATGTGTTTATTGTGTAGAACAGACATGTCAGAGTCAGGCTCGGGCCAATATAATAATAATAATAATAATAATAATAATAATAATATAATATAATTATTTTGGCCTGCAAGCTCATCAAATATATATTAAAGCTGCCCACTGACTGCCGCACCAGTATGGCTCAAGCAACTCTAATACGACTACTACTACTGCTACTACTACTAATATCACTACTACTACTACTAATACCATCACCAATACCACCACTACTACTACTACTACTACTACTACTACTACTACTACTACTACTACTACTACTACTACTACTACTACTACTACTACTACTACTACTACTACTAGGTATTTTCACTGAAAATGAAGGTGCTGCATCCAAACATGGATCGTATGATCATAAAACAGCCTGTGTCCTGATAAAGGCTTAAAGCCTGAAGTATTGGTGCTGTTCATAGACTGTGCACGTAAATATTGTTCTTTCTGCTCTGTGTGAAGCACACACTTTATTCTCATGTCTGTGAGACGTTCACAGAGACACTGACACTGTCACGACAATTAAACCTATGAAATTTATAAAGGTTTATATTATTGAGCTGAGGCTTTATAAACCTCTAAAATGCACTGGCATGTGACAAACTGCACAGAGTCTCTTCAAAACTTTCCTAGGGAGGAGCATGGAAAGATACATAGATAGATAGAAAGACACACAGATAGATAGAAAGATAAATAGACAGATAGATAGACAGATAGATAGATAGATAGATAGATAGATAGACAGATAGATAGAGATAGACAGATAGATAGATAGATAGATAGATAGATAGATAGATAGATAGATAGACAGATAGATAGATAGATAGATAGATAGATAGATAGATAGACAGATAGATAGATAGATAGATAGATAGATAGATAGATAGATAGATAGATAGATAGATAGATAGATAGATAGATAGATAGACAGATAGATAGATAGATAGATAGACAGATAGACAGATAGATAGATAGATAGATAGATAGATAGATAGATAGATAGACAGACAGATAGATAGACAGATAGATAGATAGACAGATAGATAGATAGATAGATAGATAGATAGATAGATAGACAGATAGATAGATAGATAGATAGATAGATAGATAGATAGATAGATAGATAGACAGATAGATAGATAGACAGATAGATAGATAGATAGATAGATAGATAGATAGATAGATAGATAGATAGATAGATACAGATAGATAGATAGATAGATAGATAGATAGATAGATAGATAGATAGACAGATAGATAGATCGATCTGCGTTAGATAAACAGAACAGCGAACTGTCAAGGCGGTGCTGCCGAAAAAGTGAGGAGGGAAGATTCTTTGCACGGAGAAGGAGTGAGGAGCGGGGGGAGCGGAGATTCCGCGCGATGACCGGAGTTTTGCAGGAGTCACGTGGTTCGGAGGAACGTACTAAAGGCGACGCTTTAACTCTAAAGTGCTACGGGAAACACTGGATAGATATATAGATATCTATCTATGGGATAGTTGTCATGGCGATTTCCGCCAGGGGGGCGTGGTCACGTGAGCACAGATGTATGCTGGGTTCTTTAAAAATGGCGCTCACCTGCACAGGTAAGGGACCTGTCACCTGATGACGTGGCACCGAGGAGCCGAGTCAACTCGTTTTGTTTGTCGACAGCTTCACTAAAGTCACTCTTGATGTCACTTCAAACGCTGCTTTACGTCAGAGGAAGCTCCTCCCACGGCAGCGCGGCGTTTTTAGCATCAAAGAAAGAAAAGGCGCAGGACCCGCGCAAATCAGGAAAACGCGCCAAAACTGCAGCGGCACCCAGATCACCATCAGCACGACAAACAGCACGGAGGAGTCCAGGTGAGTCTTACGAGTCCAGGTGAGTCTTGTTTGTGGATACAGAATCATTATTGCAGTAATAAATCGCTGTTCGTTTGTAAATGTTGGATGAATGAAGCTGTATTTTACTCCGCGCTCTGATTCACGTTTCTGTAATGTGCAAAGTGAACTGAAATAAATAAAGTGATGATGTGATGAGTTTCAAATGATGCTGTTGTTGAAAAAAAATCTCTTTCACTCTGTGGATGTGTTTTAAATGATGGCTCACTGAAAAAGGTGGATTATAAAAGGAAACATGAAGGTGCGGCCTTGTGTCTCTTAAAAGGAAACTTACAGAAAGGCCTTTTTTGAAAACAAATGCAAAAGGATTTGTCAGTAAAATGAAGAAAACTATGCCACAAATGAAACTCATGAAACAAAAGCAAAACGTGTCTCAAATAAAACCTCTTGGTATTTTGATGTGTGAAAATGTCATTTATCACAAAGGGTGAAACCGTGTTTTTCAAACGTAACAAATTGCAATGAAAAAGTTTAAACATGGACACCAAGATTGGGTCAATGAACTGGAACACAATGACTTATATTATATGAAATGAATGGTACATTTGTGGGAATTAAATGATCACTTTCCAAACATGGATGATGTAAGGATGGTACAAGACCTGCCACAAAATACTCAAACATGCAAATTTAAACAAGTGCAATACAAAAAGTGAAAAGTGTCATCAAAGGTTTCAAATGGGATGAAAACCTACTTGGAAAATAAAAATCTCTCATCTATCCTGGAAATATAAAACCGCACGCAAATGCATCCAACTGTACAATGGTCATGATGTAACCCTCAAATCCTAAAATATCTATTCTTTCTGTTTATTCTTTACCTTGTGTCGTCTCAAAACA